GCGTCTGCAGGGCCAGGTCGGCCGGAAAGCTCACGGAGGCGGCATCGTCTTTGAGCAGGTCGAGCACACCGTCCAGGGCATGCAGCTCGGCGGACAACGGGGCGAGATCGGCACGGGACTCGCGGACGTCGCGCACGAAGCGGTGGAGATCGCTGGCGGTTTTGGCGAGGGCGTTGCTGACGGCGAAGCAGCCGGTCGTGGTGGATCTGTTCGGTGTGAGCGAGAGCGAGCGACGCGCGGGATTGCGATGCACCGGCAACTACTTACATCCAGTCCATGATGATTGGTACTGATCGGCGAGAAGCGATCGCAGACGCAGTTATCCCAGGAGCGGGCTATCTTTGACCGTTGACGGGAACTGGGACAGCTGAAATATTTGAGGCGTATTTTGGGTCTCTTTCCTGTACGTCGATGGCTCCTCCTCTCGTCTCACTCCGCTCGCTAATTTTCTGTTGACGGGTTCACTGTCGCTTCACTCGTTCACGGCCCGGCAAGCTGCACCCATGTGCCACTTATCTGTCGTTTTCTGGACCATACAAACAGGGGTCAGGCAACTTGTGTTGCGGTGTCGGTGTTGCAGCCGTTTCCTTCTGTCTAGCGCGTGGGTGTTAAGTTACTGGATCCCTTGTCGTTCCGAAAGGAAGCGGTTTAAGTTGAGCGAGCTGGCTTTCCGTCTTTGTCGTTCTGTTCCACATTCACTGCGACATGGGACATTGACATGCTCAGGGACTGAAGAAGAGAGGGCTGCAAGGAGCTGAAAAGCGAGGATAGCGACAAAAAATGCAGGGGAGGATGAGAGAAAAGGGAAAGGTGAATGACCGGAATCAACGACAAACCGGGTGGGAGGATTTTGGTGTTGAGGTGAGCTTCCTCTTCCCTCGTTTTGATTTTCTGTTCCTTTTTCTGATCCCACGAGTTAGAGCATGGAAGAAGTATGGACTACTTTTGATGCGACTAGGGCCTTTGAAGCGGAAAAGGTGTGAGGCGGCGGCGATGCGACTGGCTTACAATAGAGGGGAAAACAGGATTAAGAAGAAGGGGAAGAGAATGCGGAGAAGAGTCGGCCACCGCCGCGAGCGACGCACGAGCAACAATCGAGCGCCACCACAAGGTACACCACGAGCGATAAACCGGCCAAGCTGTGGAGCAGGTATCGAAACAATTGAGCAAGGATCGCGGGGGAGGAGTGGGAAATCGTCGAAAATCACCTTTATTTTTAGTTTCGTTCCCCATTGCGAGCCAGGAGCCAGCCATCTGAGTGCAAAAAGATCGTCGGGCAGCTCGTGGGGAGACTTTCCCTCGGCTTTCCCTGCTTATTTTCGTGAGTAAAAAAGCCCGCCAGCTGGTGTTTGACGAGAGGATTAACGGCCGGGGGGTCTTATTGGCCCAAAAATGCAGATCACGGTTGGACACCAATTTTCTGTTTGTTGGAAAGCTATCCAATATTCAAGAATTATTGGCACACTACGATGCACCGTATGTGTGCTAATTACGGGTTTCAGCTGATTCTTTGTGCCACTGGTAAGTGCGCGCAAGGGCTCGTCAACAGCGATACAGCGAGTGTGGGAAGAGAGTGGCAATACTCGGCGTGCATATACCAGCTGGGCAAGAGAGCAGAGGGAATGGACGAGTGACATTTGGCAGAATCCTCACGCATCGGTGACCAGATTTGACAACCAGCCACAGGCCAAACTAAGAGACGAGAAAAGGCTTTGCTTGGATTGAAATCCTGCAAGGGCCTGCCTTACAAGAGAACGCTCGGACGCAGACAAAGGTCTCGGACTACAAACTACGTAGGAGGTGGCTATGCCGCCGTGGGACGTCGAGCGCCTGCACTAACAAACGTGCCCAAGCTACATAGCTGCAGGATTTGGGCTGTTGATGACAGGCCCTGGAAAAGCGACTTCGAAAGACGACAAAACGACTAAAACGACACAAGAGCTGATAACGACGGGAACTGGGCCTGAGCATCGTCCATGCCGTGGGAGCAACCACACTCGTGAGCTCTGTGCGTTTCAACGTGACTGGTTTTTTTGGTCAACGGCAAGGTCTCGACTGATGGCCCTCAATCGCCTGTTTCTGATCACTTTTTCCTCTTCTCCGCATATGGTCCTGGACACAACTCGTAGCGCCTCTTCTGTCTTCCGAGGAGAGTAAAGATCGCTGGGCGCCGTCGCGTACTATTCCACCGTAGTGAGCTGGCGGGACGGTGGGATGGCGACGATTTCAAGCAAAACTGAACTCACCTCGGTCAGATATGAGGAAGGCTCATTCAAATCCCAAAAACTCAAAGTCAAATTGCCAACTACGCAAACTACTTCCTGCTCGTTTCAGGGCATCCAAAACAGCAAGATCTGTCAGACGGGTAAGGCCGTATGGAAGCCCGACAAGTGACAAGGCTCTGAGAAACAATACGAGAGCGGACAAAGGAGCGCAGGCGTGGACGGACCGTTACGTTTTGTGCTATTTATTTATTTTTTATTTTGTTTCTAATTTGTGATGAAACAATTAAGTAAGATTGGAGGTGAGGTGCAGGGGCCGTCACCTATTCTTACTCACTATATTACACTAGCGCGACGCACGCATGTAAAGCTGAGCAAAACAGTTCTCCGTACGATATAATTACACAGCGTGAGCTGCATGACCAGCACCCAACACGCCCGCATACGGCGGTGATGGACCGTCGTTTGTCGGCGGATGTTCTTGCCGTCATTATGGGCCGGCCACTCCCGCCGCACCTTCCCTCCGTGTGCTCGGAAATAGCCGTCATTGCCGCCGGGCCGGTTGCAGTACCAAACCGGAGCGTAAACAGAAAGCCAAAGGACCATCATTTGCATGTAACTCAGCCCCAACAACACATCGCTCCCTACAGCTCATCATGTGTTGCACGTCGTTCACCCGGTGTCCATGGCGGGATCGCACCCTGGATAATGTCTAGCAAGAAGCGCTCGACAACCGCTGCAGACGGCAGCCCGCCGCCGCCGGTGCCGGCGCCGCCGGTGCTGCTTCCCGTCGGTGGGAAAGGAAACACATCGCCGTTGCTCGGGTTCTGCACGGCCAGAAGTGGTCCTGACTTGTGGGCGACGCTCGCCTGCAAACCGAGGGCCGTGGCCATCTCGTCCCCATACTCGCCGAGGTCGACTGTCGTAAACGCCAAGTACTCGCCGTACGTCTTTGCCAGCGACTGAATGGTTTTTGTGTACTCACGTCGTTCGTGCACGGAGGCGTACAGGTAGTGCACCAGGCTCTTGCCCTGCCCCAGGTAGTGCAGCTCGTTGCGGCGGGTGAGGTCGACGACGAGGGGCGCCGTGCAGAGTTCCAGAAAGGCGTCGAGCGCGGTCGTCGATGCGGCGAGGTCAGCGGCCATTTTGGTAATCTCGCCGTGGGAGCGGTAGCAAGTCAATGACGATGACGACGATGACGACGATGGCGATGAGGCTTCGACCTCTGTCGAGACAGCAAAGGTGTGCCGGTCGGCATAGGTGTGGGCCAGCTGGCTGAAGCGAGAGGGGAGAGTATCGTCTTCACGACTTGCATCCTTTCCATACCGCGCGACAAAAACGACCTCGTCGTCGCCCAGTAGCGCCGTCACATTCGCATCGTCAACGACCGAGAGGATGGGTCGAGCCGAGCGGCGCAGGAACGCAAGCAGGTCTGGCGCCTCGCGAGCACCTCGGTAGCGCTGTACGCCACGAGACGGATCCCGGTGGAATAGGCGGATCGCCGGGTAGGAAGACACATGGAGCTCGTCGCAGAGCCGAATGTCCTGTGTACAGTCGATGCTGACGACTGTGGCGGCTGTGGCTTCGCGGACGACCAATGTCCACTCGGTGTCAAGTCGTTTACATGATTCTCTGTGTGGGGTTAGTTCGGCGGCGCGGTACGTACTCGAGGACTGGAAGTGCTCTTACAATGATGTCTAAGCTGTTAGTATGTGCGTAAACGGGTTTGAAGTCGACAGTAAAGAACATACCTCGACGACTGTGAACAAAGTAGAAACGCAGTCTATGTTAGCCCCACGGCCAGGCTCGTTTTCAAGCCACTCCTTCTCGTCTGTACTTACACGCAACAAGAGTGCGCTCCTTTGTTTCAAGGGTCTTCCGAAAGCCGGCTGCCGACATGTGACTCCATGCTGCGGCGGGCGATACAGCGACGGCAGCCATGAGAAATGATGTGTTGGCGAGTCTCATTTTGTCGAGGTGTGATGATGAAAGTCGACGATGTCGACGAGCGAAGAGAAGCGGATGACAAGACGAAGAGATTGGCCAAGATTCTAGAAATATTTGCGCGTCTCTGACGTCTCGCACATCTCTTGTCAGAAAACCTGGCAGAAGGCGTTGTCTGCAGTCTGATGTCTACAGTCGTCTGTCGGATCCACGGCTGGCCCCTGTGAATGGTGATCTGTGCACCCAATTCACAACTCAAGACGTTTCATGACGGCATATTGACGTACCGAGGGAATGAAGAGGGGGTAACCAAATCATACGAAGAAGAAAAGCGAAGAAAAGACAAGAAGACAAAAGAAGAAGAAAAAAGAAATCAGAAGAAAAGTCTAATTGATTTTAAATTGTGCGTCTCAAAAACCCAAAATTGATATCGATGTCAACACCATTGCTGACTGTCAAAATGCCGACTCGACGAAAACACTCAATTGCTGGCCTCTGCGCACTGCTTTCGTTGCTGCGCCTGTCCCGAGCCGCATCGCAATCGGTCCTCACAGACGCCACCAGCGACGCCGCCGCCTACGTCTGCCAACATCCACCATACGAGGTCCACCTCGTCTCCTCGTCGCCCCTCGTTGTCTACCTTGCCGGATTTGTCACGCCCGACGAGTGTGCCCACTTGACGGACGCAGCGCACGATACGTTTGCCCAATCGGCCGTGGCGGACAGAGAAAAGGCCAACGGCCGCGTCGTTCTCGACAAGGTGCGCACGTCGCAGTCCACGAATGTGCCGAGGGACCACGTTGTACGGTGCATTGAGGAGCGCGCATTGCGGTTTCAGGGTCTTCTCGACGGCCCCTCGTCATTGACGACATCGTCGGCGTCCTCCTCGTCCCGCCTTGAACCGTTGCAGCTGGTCAAGTACGGGCGCGGCGAGCACTATCACTACCACACAGACTGGTTTACCGACCCCGTGCACGCAACGGCGGCGCAGGGCGGCAACCGGGTGTCGAGCTTCTTTGCGTATGTGCATGTGTCAAACGGGACGACAGATGACGGGCCGGCACCTGCTGCCCTCCGCGGCGGCGGCACGAACTTCCCGCTCGTCAACGCGCCCCGACCCACCGACCAGTGGTGCGCATACACGGACTGCGACGAGCCATGGGAGCGCGGCGTGACGTTCCGCCCCGTGCAGGGCAACGCCGTCTACTGGGACAACCTGCTGCCGCGCACAGAAGGCCAAGACACGCGCACCGGAGATCCGCGGGCGCTGCACGCGGGGCTGCCGGTCGTGGCGGGCGAGAAGATTGGGATGAACATTTGGACGCGCGAAGGGACTGTGCCGGCAGCCATTCGTGGGGAGGAAGACAGATAACACAAATACCAGTAGTTTTCATGGGAAAATGCACTCTATTTAACTGCTTTTGATGTCGTGGTATCGTAACACGTTGGTACAGCGCCAACGACAGCCGCTGACGCCCCTGCTCTTTCTTATAAGAGGGCCGCTCCAACAACGGCGGCCACGGCCAGGTTCTTGATGACGTCGACGGCCCGCCCGACCGACGCGGCATTCGTGCTCGCCGAGGTCGACGCGGATGTAGTTGTGGTTGCTGCCAACGAACCGCCCTTGGCACCCGCATCGCTGCCAGTGTCGCTGTTGGACGACGACGGTGGCGTGGCTGCCGTCGCCGATGGTTTGGCCGAGTTCGAGGCCTTTGTTTGTGTCGCTTTGGATGTGGAACTCGGCTGGGCCGCCGTGTTCGACGGCAGCGCCTTGCCCTTCGCGCCGCCTGCCTTCTGATACGGCGCCAGTACGCACTCGCTAAAGAGCGTGTTGTCCTTGTAGCTGCCGTCCGGCTGCAGCGTGGGCGTCAGGCTGAGCACGTACGTCTCGTCAAATTGGCCGGCGGCCCACGATACGTAGCCAATGTAGACGTCGGCGTTCTCGTTGATAAAGGCGTTTTGTGCGCAAAAGTCCGTCATGCACGAGGGTTCACTCGACGCGCCCGTCTCGCTAATCAAGCCCTGGCGCTTCTTTTGGCGCAGGTAGGTCGCCAGCATCGTGAAATTGCCAATGTTGTTCGTCGTGCACTCGGCATTCTGGCCCGAGTTGTTGTTGTCGAGGTACTTGTGGATGTCCAGGTACAGTCCGTCGGTCGAGCCGTCCGGGTTCGTAATGGCCAGCAGGGCGTCAGCGCTGCCCGTCGAGATGAGCGTCGCGGCGCTGTCAAAGTTCGTGCCCGGCAGCAAGATCATCTGCGTCTTGGCGCCGGCATTGCGTATGCCGTTGACGACCTTTTGGCACGTGGCCGCCCATGTCTCCAGATCCAGGTCGTGCGGCTCGTTGGTGATTTCAAAGACGACCTTGGGCTCGTCGGCGTACATTTTTGCGAGAGCCGCCCAGATCGCAACAAACATGTCGTCTGACGGCCCGCCCTGTCCGACGATGCCGCCATTGAACCGAGCAAAATTGTGCACGTCAATCATGCAATACGCACCGGTCGCGAGGCATGCCTTCACGAACTGATCGTAGCGGCCGGCATTGGTCGGGTCAAACGTGTCGCTGACTTCTTTGTCGTTGTTGATGAGGAATTGCCATGATGTTGCTAGAGGACGAGCCGGTTAGTGCCATAGACCTTTGACAGCATGCCAAATAAGAGGCAAGGACAGAAAGACAAAAAGCCATAAAAACATACGCAGCCGGAACATGTTCACGCCGTCATCCTCGACGAAATGCTTCATCTGGCCGCCGCCGTCGGCATGGCCCAGCTCCGTCAACGGCAGGGTCGCCGTGGAGAGTGGACAGGAGCCCTACAGTCGTGTTAGTTTGATTTGCACTGTGGGCATGCTCGTATTCAGGGTCTCGTATATCCGTCTTAGTGCAATTTTGTTGGACAATAGTGACGGGCAATTTGATGGGTGGATTTGGCATTTGGCGGAATTGACGTTTAGCGAGTGTGCTTGGGCGGGGCGGCCCAGCAAATCGTGGCTTGGCCAGGCTTACATCGATATCACACCCAAAGTCGCCGCCAGCCATGGCAACGCCCTGAAAGGAGCGCAGCAAGTCAGTATTTTTGTCGAAGTGGAGGTCAAAGCGTGTCAAAGTAGACACGCTTCGAAATGGAAGAAAACTCACCAGGAACTGGACGGCAGCCTGAGCATAAGCGAGGAAGCCCAAAAGGACGAGGGAAGGAAAATAAGACAGAGACAGCATTGCGAACAGAGGAATGCAAAGAAAGACGAGATGGAAACGACAAGAATTGCAAAATAGAGAGAATAAGACCGCGGGAAGGACGAGCAAAGAAATATTAAAAATGATAGGGTATATAAATGCAGCCTCGAAGAGGAACGATCGTGGTGAAGAGAAGCGAGGAAGACGAGATAGATGAAAGACGAGATCGAGAAAGGCAAGGTCGAAAGAAAACAACGCAAAGCCGAGACGGAACGGCCGGACTGGCTGAAGAACGCCTTAGAATAAAAAAATGAGTGACTCGATGTGCTGGAAGTAGGACGACGATGTACGACGTAGGAGATGCGAAACAAACAAGGATGAAAAGGAAAAGAAAAAGAAAATGCTGAGCGCACTTCTGTATTGATAATGATGGCGAGAGGATAGAAAAAGGAACAAGATGGTACAAAACTAGAAATCAAATGGGCAAAAATAGAACATAGAATAGGATTTCCGAGAGGACCACAAAAAAAGGCAGACTCAACTTCGCAGACCCAAAATACGAGCATGAGGCGGCGTTCGAAATAGGAAAATAAAATAAAATAGGAAATCGTCCGTGTTCGAAGGACCCTGACTACCCAGCAAAACCTAAAACCAAACGGTTGCAACCAAGAAGGTCCCCACAAGAAACGGCGCACGGTTTAGGGGCGTAGGGGGGGCGAAATGAGGGCGTCAGGACACGAGCGCCTACACGAATGACAGGAGCAAGAGGATGCTAATTGGGTGTTGTAGCGTATCTGGTTAGTGGCGGGCGTCGACAAAGTCGACAGGTTGATGGCGCGGCTGAGACGCGCGTGCTAGGCACAACGGTCAGCACTCCATCGGAAACCAACTCAGGCCAACAGTGCGAGCCCATCTTTCCAAAGCAGCCAAGTAAAATTACCTGGCGAGATGAGCAGATTCACAATAACAGAGAAAATAAATACGAGCCGCAGAAGATGCAAAGCAGGAGAACACGAGGGAAGAAAACAGGGCACCGATACGACAGGACAACATGTCAACACAAGCAGACGAGCTCGACAAAAGGTCAAACGGCCTGGGACGGCCACTGGGCTGAGCCTCCAAATCGACCCCTATTCCGTCGCCAAGGCCTTGCCGTAGATCACTGGGCCCAGTGCGGTGAACCAGGAAAACAAAAGCGATTGTGGATATTGGCGAGAAATATATGTTGTGTGCGTCGTAGATGTAATACATGGCAAATACGACCAAATGCAACGATATGCAATAATAAAATGCGCGGGCGACGATCGAACAACACAGGTTTCAGACCTCTCTGCACACCTTACTCGTCCCGGAAAATGCGCACCTGCACCTCACCGGCATCGTCGACCCACGCGCGGAACATGCCGCCGCTGTTGTAGTCCTGGATCACGGCGGTGCGGACCTCCCGGACATGGCCACGGTCGTCGTGCACAACCACGGACTCAACACCAATGATGCCGCCTTCGCCCTCGCCGGCGCGGCCCCAGCGATCGCCTGCACTCTGCTGCAACAACCCGCCGGGACCAGCCACGGCCGAAAGCGCGGAAGCCAACGAGAGCGGCTTGTACTGCGCCATGGCCGCGACCGTGTGCGCAGCACTGATGCGCAAAAAGGAGTCGCCGTTGCCCGTGCCAGACAGGCCGATGGAGCGTGTTGTTTTTGTGGACGACGATGGCGTCGACGATAGTGGTTCATAGAAAAGGGGTGTCGGCGAGGGAATCGGAAGACAATCGGCCAGCAGGTTGCAGAGAGCCCGAGACAGCTCGACAACCGGGCGAGCCGTCTGCACACCCCCTGCTGTTCTCGCTGCCGCTGCTGCGGCCGCTGCCGCGGCCGCCCATCCCGTCGGATCGCCGTCCTCGGCCCACGTGCCCGCCCACGAGCCTGCACCCACCACCGGCGTGTCTCCCACGCGGCCCGTCACCTTGTTCGTCAGGCCGCCCGTGCTCGTCGCACAGCACACCACCCCGTCCGCGTCTAGGGCCACCGCGCCGCACGTGCCTTGTGGGAGGTACTCGCTGGCCGACCAGGAGCCCGTGGCCGCCCGCCCTTGTTTCTCGGCCTCGAGAGCACGTACATGCTCGTCCCACCGCTGCTGCGTGAAAAAGTAGGACGGATCGACGAGCGGCAGTCCGTAGCGCGTGGCCAACACCTCGGCGGCGGCACCATAAATCTGCGTATGGCCTTGGGCGCCCGAGTCAATGTTGGGTCCCTGCATGTCCTCACTGTTCTGGTCCTCGCTGTCCTCGCTGTCCCCGCGGCTTGTGCGGCTCGCTTGCCGGCCGGCCCTCCCACCCAAATCAACATCGCCGTGCTCGAGCATCCGTCGTGCCAGCCGAATCGGGTTCCGCACCCGGCGCAGTCCCATCACGCCCACCCCCGCTTGGCTCGGCCCCGTGATACCATAATGCCTGCCTCGAGCTCGTTGAGCCCGTCGCGTGTAAACACGGCGCCATGGCCGCTGTTGAAGAGCGGGCAGTCCTCGAGCAGAACGACGGCGAACGTGGCCGTCTCAAGTGCAGTCGGACCCGATGAGTCCGACGGCGCAGCCGTACCCGATGCCATGTATTCTTTGGTGCGCGTAATCTATCGGTCAGACTTGACAGCGTGGCATTAATAGAGGACGGACGTCCGAGTCTGGAGTAAGTCAACGTACAATCTCCTTCAGGGCTGCTCGGTAAGCGATCCGCCGTTCGGGCGTCAACGTCGTCTGCGAAATGTTGCCGGCGCCGCCATGGATGATGATGCGCGGTTGGATTGGCACGTGCTGTCGGTGGCTGGTCTTGTCCAAGAGGCCGTTCATGTTGGTGGTAGCAGATCGTTTGTTGTCGTAAGTGTTGTTGTATGCAAGATGGCTTCGTTTAAACTCAGGGGCTATCGTAAATTGTGGTCGTCGGCCCCTTCCCGCAGTGGACGTTTGGTTGGGAGCTTGAGTCGGTCGCAGCTTCCCTGTCGCCGATAAATCGGAGGGAAATGTCGTCAGTTGTTGTGTCGCTATCTTTCCCCTCGTGCAATGCGTCCATGCTAGGCGAATTAGGAAGGCGCCCAATTGAGGAAGGCGCCCGATTGGACCTCGGGGGCTAAACAGCGACCGTTACAGTGTGGTTTGGAGACAGCGCCCTCTAATTACCAAACAAGGTCACAACCGGCGTACCAAAGGCCGACTGGCAAGGCTGTCGTAGGCAGTTCTCTTCTCGCGATAGCAAACAAGAAGCACGACGTAGCAAACAAGACATACAGCACGACAGACTTGTTATCAGACGGAGGATCGCACTCATCGCATCTTCCTGACAAACATGACGACAATGCCATTGAATTCAAAAGCAGAAAATGGCTGCATTAGTTGACACAATTCCTGGCTTTCTCGTCGGAGAAAAGATAGCTAACCGAACTGGGCATACCTCCTCTGCTGGGTTCTTCTTAAGCTTTCTCCGTCGAACTTCTTCTGCCAATATACTACGTCCCTACGATCTCCTTTGAGCACCTGAATTTGCGCCGTCTCGACTCACTTTAACTAGTATGCACCATATCCAACACAGTACACACCCCGACACCAAGCGACGAGGACTACTCGACACAGCGCCACAAGCAGCGCTACCGCTTCGGCATTGTCGAGTTGGCCTTGGTGCATTTGGGAGTCTGTTCAGCGGCGAGGACCATGATGGGCATCCAGGATCGAAAACGGGACCGACGCCGTACGGCACTGCTGGGTATGAGCCTGGGCGGATACGTTGTGAGCTACAGTGCCGCTGTGCCGGACGCTCTCGGTCTTGCATGGGAGACGGGCATCACATCGCGTCCCGAGCCGGCGCAAAAGTGTTACGCCGTCAAAGTCAATCTTTCCGACGTGCAGGTGCCGTTCCCGTCGGTGCTCGGATTGCATGAGGGCGGTCTGTGGAAGACGCGGCCATCTGGTCGCCCAAGAAACCGAAAATTTCAGTCGACTCCGGGACGGACGCCGATGTGCACTGTCAAGTAAACGTAAACGACACGCTGTGTATGGTCCAAGAGGTGGACGTCTTTTTATAAGATACGCCGTGTGGTATGCGGCAGAACTATGGGTTGGGTTTGTTCGGTTTGAGGGTATCTATTTCACTTCTGGCGTTCTGTCGGTTGTTAGCGAATCCAACCATCTCCCACCCGACCCATCGATTGAGGCGCCCTTGGCGCACTTAGCGTCTGTGAAGACAAGCATGCCACGCCACACGAAGCTTTGAGGAGCGCAGGAGCATTCCCAAGCGGATGGAAGCCATGGAAGAGATGTGGAAAACGCCTCAAAGCTTCTTTAGAACTGGCACTCTGGGGCGAGTCTGGGCTTGCGGTTGCTGTCGCGGCTCCGGTCTCCGTGCGGCGTCCATGCTGTCTGTTGTGCGCGGATGGCCGCGTTTGCTTCGTAAGAGTACAGCCTCACAGCCTGCTGTAAAGTGTTTTGGTGCATGTTCATGACTTTCGACGTCATTCGATCGCCCCTGCTACGTGCGGAGAACACTGTCTCTCTTTCCGTTTGAAGCAGGCTGCCAAGTGCTCATATACTGGAGGAAGCAGCGACGAGCAGCAACAGCAACTGCAACTGCCTCTTTTGGACAATAGGAAGCCACACGTACATCCACGCCTTCGTTCCTTCCCTTCCTTGCCACTCCACAACGGCAACCACGTTTTTTGCAATTCTCAAAGGCGATCTCGTTCAAGTCGACCGGGAATGTTCGTCGACAAGTCGTTAATTTTGTTTTGACCCATTCGACGCCAACATACATACTACATCAGAAACGGTCGGGAACATGGGTCTGTCTGCTTACGACATACTCGTCAACGCCGCGGTCGGTCACTCAGTCGGGTGGACCCACATCAACCGACAATGGACCAATACGGCAACCGCACCAGCACCACGTGTAAGTCGCATTCACGAATTGGCACCAAAAGAAGAAGGCACGAGGGATCGGCAGCACCAAGGCCCAGGTACAGGACAAAAGCTCACTCAAAGTGTGCATCGCCAGTCTTTATTTCCTTACGCTTTTCCTGTACTATATCGGCCTAGGGTACATGGACTGTCGCTTACGACCTTCCGGGGTTTTCCAGGACCCGCTTGCCTAGCTGTCATCTCGCTTTTCGCTTTGCTCGTCTTCCTGCAGCCATATAGTCTTGACGTTATTTCCAGGCGTCTTCCATCACACTTCCTACTTTGGGAGACCGAACGACCTTTATGCTTGGCCTGGATGTTTGTTTCCTGCCCCCACACCTTGCCTTGACCATGTGGGCAACTCACAAGTCAAGGCCAAACGACGAAACGACGAAACGACGAAACGACGAAACGACGAAACGACGAAACGACGAAACGACGAAACGACGAAACGACGAAACGACGAAACGACAGAAGAAGAGAGGAGAAATCGAAGGACCAATAGTGTCAATCTAGGTACGACATAGTCAACAACGAATAGCTAACCCGGTATTGCAAAGCCCTCTGTCCACGCCCCACGTTCATGTTTCCAAAGACAAGCTCTCAGGGCCGCTTACCTACATTGTTATACGGAGTACGAAATACATCTGCTAGATGCTTCTACAGGGAAATATGCTTGGCACCCCTCAAACTACACCGTGACACATTCTCCCAATGTGCGTGCAGTTGTCGTGTTGTCTGAACTCAGTTTTTACCAAAACATGTTTCGGCCAGTCATGAAGAAAACTTCAGTCATGGCACGTCGTAAATGTCTTGATCGGTTTGGATAGGCTTCTGCGGAGGAATACCCGGTTAAGGCGACTTACAAGTGTCAAGGTGGAAATAAAAGAAATTGCCCCAGAGGCACTAAGACACCAATACGCGCATGGCCAAGGCGGACGAGTGAACGCTGCAACACCGCTGGCCAATGAGCCGCGTGCTTATTCCACATGCGCTGTCCTGTCCATTGACAACAAAATGGTACACAAAGCTAGACAAAAGCTTAGGAAGCTGAAGGAACAGGGCCACGCACAAAAAGGCTTGGCAGCGTGCCGGGAAACCACTCGCAAGGCGACGCATGCACGACAGGGCCTGGGGGCGTGGCCTTGTCCGTTCTGTGGAACCCACTTTTTGTCTTCCCGTCTTGCCTTTCTGTCTTCTCGGTCGGTGTCGATTCGAGCAAAACCCGTTTTCTGGGGACCCAATGTGCCAATATGCGATCGCAGCTGTTGTCGCCGAACCCAGGACACCGGACGATGGACGAACACGCTCTCGACAGAACCGGGGTCATCCTAGCACGACATGCGTACGTTGTGCTGAAGTAGCTAGCAGTCCACTTCTTCCTCGTTGAGGACCTGTTTTGTGATGTGCGGCGCGGGCGATCGGCACCCCAAAAGGTCCTGTTCCTTACCCATAGATTGCCCGTGCCTGTTCCACTGCTGCTGCGACTTTTGTATAAACTCGTGCCAGCCCGCTCAGAAGATCGGCACGCTCTTTTCACCTTTCCGCCTTTTCTCCCTCTCTTCACCACCCACCCTCGTTTTTCTTATCATCTTCTACATTCCCTTGTGTTGTTCGTCACCGTCGCATCCCGCACGACTTCAAGATGATGTACACGCCTGCCCTTCTCCTGGCGGCGGCCACGGCCGTCTCAGCCGCCGCCGTCTCCGTCTCCGTGGAGAACACCGCCACGGCCGCCAGCGATGTCTTTGCTGCCCAGGCCACGGCCGAGTCGCGCAGCCCCGTCACCCACGTCAAGGGCAAGGCCTTTGACCGTCTGGCCATCATCTGGCTCGAGAACACCGACTACACCCTTGCTGCCGGTGATCGTGAGTGGCCTCCTCTTCCGTCGACGACGACTGTGTCCCATGTCCCATGTCGCTAACCGTCCAGCCAACCTGGCCTTCTTTGCCGAGAAGGGTATCAAGCTGACCAACAACTTCGGCGTCACGCACCCGTCCGAGCCCAACTACGCCGCTGCCATTGGTGGCGACTACTTTGGCATGGACAACGACAACTTCAACTTCATCGACGCCAACGTCAGCTCCGTCATCGACCTGCTCGAGGGCGCCGGCATCAGCTGGGGCGAGTACCAGGAGGACATGCCGTATGCCGGCTTCGAGGGCTTTGCGTGGGTCAACCAGGAGACCAAGGCCAACGACTACGTCCGCAAGCACAACCCGGCCGTGCTGTACGACCAGAACACCAAGCAGCAGAAGCGCCTGGAGCAGATGAAGAACCTGACGGGCTTCTACGAGGACCTGGCGGCCGGCACCCTGCCCCAGTGGATGTTCATCACCCCCAACATGACCTCGGACGGCCACGACACGTCCGTCACCGTTGCCGGCACCTGGACCCGCACGTTCCTCGAGCCCCTGCTCTCCGACAGCCGCTTCATGGACAACACCCTGGTCCTCATCACCTTTGACGAGAACTCCAGCTACAGCATCCAGAACAAGATCCTCGGCATCCTGATTGGCGACGCCGTCCCCGCCGAGCTCGTCGGCACCGAGGACGACAGCTTCTACAACCACTACAGCGAGATCGCCACCGTCGAGGCCAACTGGGACCTGCCCACCCTGGGCCGCTGGGACGTCGGTGCCAACGTCTACAAGGTCGTGGCCGACAAGACCGGCGACAAGCTGCGCACCTTTGACGCCGACAACCTGGCCAAGCACTACTTCAACGCGTCGTACGACGGCGTCTTCAACAGCAAGCCCACCTTCCCCGTCTACCCCAAGCCCAACCTGTGCCTCGAGCACAACGGCCGCAAGGTCGCCCAGAGCGTCCAGCGCAAGTGGTACGGCAACAAGAACCCCTCCTACTACAAGAACACCGTCGAGGTCAACGACGGCCTCAACCCCCCTGCCCAGTACGGCTTCGGCAAGTAAATGTGCCGGGAGTGCCTTTTGGTGAGAAAATGGATGGTGGAGACGCGTGTGCCAGTGAAACGATGGAGAGTGGGATCGAGGTTGGAAGGTGGCATGTGACATGCAAAGGTCACGGTCCATTGTCGAGCAATATGCTCCGTACGTCCGTACCGAAAACATAATATATAATTCAAGTCGATGACCGCCTCCTTGGGTCGACTCTAAAACACGGTATTCAAACTGTCCGCTTCGGTCCATGTGAGATGAGGTGACCTCGATGGAGGACGAGTCGCGGCTGGTCACGAGTACAGTAGTATTCGTAGCCAATACCAACGTGTCAGCAGTGGACAAGGAAACAAGCTTTGGCATCAGGCTGCAAAGTGTTAGAAGTGGCCATCACGCGGTGCAAGACCTAACGTTGCCTGCTTGGCTTGTGAAGAGGCTTGTGTTCGTCCAATTTCGTGATTTATTAGCACGGATCGATGGATAGAAATTGAAAAGATAGAGAAGAAAAGGAAGAAAAGGACAAAATTGGTAAACAGAAGATTTAATTGAATTAAAGGAGAGAGTTGCGAGATGTTGTGACGAGGCAAGCACCGCCTTCAATGGTGACGAGGCGTGATCACTCACGTGATAGTGCACGGGCCAGCGCCTTCCGCCGCAACCACTCAACGCGTGCCTGCCCCGCCATGGACGCGACGCGATTTTGCGCATTTGCTGTTGCGAGTCTCCGGCGACTTTCCGACAGCGTCGTTTCAACCTCACAACGACAACGACCGCCCACGTCAAGCTGACCTCCCCGCGTCCATCCGCAACCTCGTCAGTCCGACCTCGCTTGACTCACCCTTCGACTCCTCCACCCACCCCTTCCATCCTTCCATCACATACATCTGCCCCCCGCTCAACCGCCACGATGTCAGACGTCGAAGACATGGACGTGGATCCGCCACGCAACGACATCAAGTTCTCCGCCGACAACAGCAGCAAGGGCAAGCGCAGCACGGCGGCCAACCTGCCCGTCGAGGCCGAGGACACGCTGCCGTGGGTCGAAAAGTACCGCCCCGTATCGCTCGCCGACGTGTCGGGCCACCAGGACATTCTGGCGACGATCAACAAGTTTGTCGACTCGAACCGGCTGCCGCATCTGTTGCTGTACGGACCGCCCGGCACGGGCAAGACGTCGACCATCCTGGCGCTGGCGCGGCGGATCTACGGCGCGGCCAATGTGCGGCAGATGGTGCTGGAGCTCAACGCGTCCGACGACCGCGGCATCGACGTGGTGCGGGAGCAGATCAAGACGTTTGCGTCGACGAAGCAGATTTTTGCCGCCAAGCCGGCGACGGCAGCAGCGACAGGTGCTGGCGCTGGCGCTGGTGCCGAAAGCGCCAGTGGCCGCGACGGCGGCGCCAGCCTCGCCACGTTCAAGCTCATCATCCTCGACGAGGCCGACGCCATGACCAACACGGCGCAAATGGCCCTGCGCCGCATCATGGAAAAGTACACGTCCAACACGCGGTTCTGCATCATTGCCAACTACGCGCACAAGCTGTCGCCGGCGCTGCTGTCGCGGTGCACGCGCTTCCGGTTCAGCCCGCTCAAGGAAGCCGACATTCGCTCGCTGGTCAACCGCGTCATCGACGAGGAGGGCGTGCAGATCATGCCCGCGGCGGCCGACGCGCTGGTGACGCTGAGCCGCGGCGACATGCGGCGCGCGCTCAACGTGCTGCAGGCGTGCCACGCGTCGAGCACGCCGCTGCGTGGCCAGGACGACGACAAGGACAAGGACAAAAACGCACCCGTGGTCCGCGAGATGATTACGACCGAGACCATTTACAACTGCATTGCGGCGCCGCCACCGGACGCGGTCCGCGAGATTCTGCAGACGCTGCTGACGACGACCGACGTCACGTCGTGCCTCAACACGATCCATGCGCTCAAGGTGGCGCGCGGTCTGGCGCTGGCGGACATCGTCACGGCGCTGGCCGAGGAGATTGTCAAGGTGGAGGCAAGCCCCAAGGTCATGGTGGCGTGGCTCAGCGGGCTGGCGGACATTGAGCACCGGGTCGCGAGCGGCGCGGGCGAGACTGTGCAAACAGGGGCACTGGTGGGCGTGATCCGGAGCGGATGCGAGATGATGAGCGCATAATGGGTGTTCTGGACAGCAGCACACGACACAAAGACGGGTTAGGTAACATATGCGGCATATACCAGCGAATATCATTTTCACGTTGCAACGAAACCGACACGAGGTCGAGTGTGTGTGTGTGTGTGTGGTGGGAAACGATTTGGTCTTGTGTCTCAGCAATTCAACCGGGCGCGACTGTCTGCTGTCTCTTTGACGAAGCCTAGTTAACTTGCTACAGACACAGCCTCGGATTCCCCATTTTGCCGCCCTGCGTTGGTCTTGCCTGACCCGCATTTTATAATACAACATCACCCGCAGCATCATTGCCGGTTTCATACGCACCGCACCAATGCTTTCCAGCGCGTTTAAAATACCCCAGAAATGTCAGAAGAAAGCAGAGCAGGATGGATTGCCCCAGTGGACTGTGGTAGGTATAAAATAAGGCAAAAAGCAAAAAATTACATAGGTGCCTCCGTGCGCCAAAATCGCCGCATCGACATTACCCAACAAGACAGACCGCAGTCCCTCAGTAGGTGTACTTTTCAGCGGGCAGCTCAGTGACGGGCATGGGGCTGGCCAGTTCAGCAGTGTTGGGTGCATTCCCATGTACACTGCTGTGTCCGTGCTGGGGCCCCTGTGAGCCTCCGGTCATGTTGTTGTCGACACTGTTGTGGCGAAACGTGCCCGTGTGGTTCCAAGTCGGTGTCCGCGGTGTTGTCGTGAAACTGAAGCCGTTGAGTTGCTGCTGAACGTATGGCTGGTTTTGGCTCTGGTATGGCTGTGGCTGCTGAGTGAACGGTGGCGGTGGCTGGTGAACGCTCGATGACGAGCTGCGACGAATACCGCCAGCACTGTACTGCTGCTGCTGCAAATGCTGCTGCTGCTGATGTTGTTGTTGTTGTTGTTGCTGTTGTTGTTGTTGCTGAAGATGATGCAACTGTTCGTGGGACATGGGCGAGACCGTCTCGTCCTGCATGGCACTGGGATGGGGTGCGCCTCCGTGGCCGGCCAGTCCTTGTGTGTTGATGCGGAGAGAACGTACGCGCGTGGAGAGTGGCGATGGCACAGCCGATGAGGGAGGCAGCGACGACGAGGCAATGAGGAGCGCCTCTTTTTCTTGTTGCTGCAGCCGATCGACCTGGCGGCGCAAGTGCCGTGCCCTGCTGTACGAGAAGCCCAGGGCGACCAGAGCCGCCAGCAGCAGGGCACCCAGCACGCCGGCGACAATGACCGTCACCAGCCGCTGGCTGCGGTCGAAGTTGAAGCGGCCGCCGCCCCCGTTGCCGTCATAGCGGCCCGTGGGGGATGACGCGGGGCCTGTCGTCGTCGACGAGTTGTCTGCCGTCGGCACGGCCGTAAACTGCCGCACCACGGCCCCCAGTCCCCGCGCCAGTGTAAAGTTCTTCTGCGCACAGCAGTCCGTCTTGTTGCAGGACTTGCCAAAGCTGTCAAAGCAACAGCACCAGGCGCTGCCCCCGCACGACATCACAGTGTACGTGGGCTGGATGGGCGTGCCGGCCGTCACGTAAATGTTGGGGCTCGCGGTGCCGCAGTACTGCGGGCAGGCCGGGTCGAGTCCGGTAGGGTCGGTGCAGCCCTCGGCCCAAAAGGTGTTGTTGTCGGAGCGCTGGGTGGCGAAGCAGACGCCCGTGGCCAGACAGGCTTCCTGTTTGCTCTCGTCGCAGCAGGCGGCATGCGATCCCGACTGGCCGGTGGCGGCGGCGTTGCAGGGCGTGCCGGAGCTTTTTTGGCCGTTGACGGCATAGCACTGAGCATCGGCGACGGCGTGGGGGAGGTTGATAAGAAATAGAAGGCAGGCCCAGGCGACAACGGCCCTCGGCCGGTGGTGCTGCAGCATGTTGATAATGTTGGCGAGGATGTCGTCTCCGTGTCCCTCCACAGCGGTGTCTGCGGTCAGTGTGGAGAACAAAGGCAGAGGAGAATAAAATCCAGAAAATCAGAAGATCGGAAACCAGGAAACTGATATACCTGTCGCTCAACGGTCCATGGATGAGAAACTAGCGAGTTGGGGCTTGCTGTTCCAGTTCCAGTCGTGTGTCCACTGCCAACTGCCGTGCCTTGGCGTGTTTGGATCTGGTACGAACTCCTGTTTCCAGTTCGCGGTCTACATGAAGGCCGGGGACTGCCAGAGATGCGGCTGTGCATACGTGACTTGATCTCTCACCAACCTGTTCCTTAGCTTTGACCTACACTCTATGATCGCCATCTGCATGATCAGGGGCTTTTCCATTTAGCCAGGCCGATCAGAAGACGATGGTCTGAGCCGACACGGAGCCGCGAGGGGAGGGGGAAAAGGGAAAGGGAAAGGGAAAGCAGAAGGATGGGAGAGTACTCGAGAATGTTAAAAGAGAGGGAGAGTCCTTCTTTTCTCAGTGAAGAATGAAACAACGCTCTGCTCGTCGTGGTCTTTCTCGCCTCATTTCGTCAACGTTCTGTGTCGACACAGGGCACGTCACCGTGCAAGCAAAGATGTCTTTTCAATGCGCCAATAATTGTGTGTAGCACTAGATGTGATTCGATGCTGCACCACATCTCCAGCTCTCAAATGTACAACACTTTACGTCTGCTTCGCACTTGTCGCATTTGTCGCGATGTAGCCCGATTAGGAAGTTTTCCTGTCTGACTTACACGCTGTAAGGCAGCCAAGACAAGCGATGATCCCTAGTGTGGTCCTCTCTAATAGGGCATTCGACGTTGCAGGACGGAGCCCTACAGTCAGTGGGTTCAGCGGGTGATTCAGTGGATTCAGCGATTCAGTGGATCATAGCGCGGGATATAAAGTCAGCCAAAAGCCAACAATTTACTTGGGATTAATTTACCCGCTTTTGTGCAGTGTTGTTTCCTAGTTCTGTTTTCTATATTTCTCATTGTCATATTTGTCTCAATCGTCCGTTCTTCCACTTGTTTCGGTTTTTTTCTCTCATCCTTCTCGTGTCTGTATATTTCTTTCTTTGTCGCTTTGTCGCTTTCTCCTTGTCCGTAGAATAAGCTCTTGCCAAAAGCCGCTAACACGGACAGCGCCGACGACCAGTAGCACCTGCTTCGGCGTCGTCGCCTTATTGTACCCAGCCGCACCAATAATGGGAAGGCACAACCTACACGTGCAAATGCCATTGTCCGCCGAAGCCGGCCGGCGCAAGAGGCGGCACTGTGCTATGTCGTCTTTTAAGTCTTCTTTTCTTTTCTACGAGTCCCAATACGATCATAAACGGCAAGCGTATCCAAGCAAGGTATGTTGTCTGGTTCAGAACGTTAGGCGGGCATACGACTGGCATTCCTCGTCGATAGCTCCCTCGGTGCAAAACTACGCACCGGTTCATCCGAGGCATCCCGGCTGAGCGTCGTAATTCGACAGAGTGAAGGACGGGGCACCATCTGGCCATCCATCTTCTCATAAACGCAAGTCGCTTCTCGGTCAATAAACGAGGCATTTCATGACAGCGGCGCTTGCAGCAGAGGTCTTTCCTAATCCGTTCGAGACACTCCTGCCTTGCATCTTTACATCCCACTGGAAATGCATCATCGTCTTTCCTCTTTTGGTATGCAGCACACCTTCTTCGTTCCTTCCTCCAGCCTGCAGTCATGTCCCATCGCCTTCCCTTCTCGCAAGATCGGCGCACGTGGGACCAGGACGGGATGAACTGGACGGGACGAACAAGACTTGAGAGGCGGGGAAGGCGCGAGAGGCTTTATGGAGAGAATCAATAGTCACGTTGAGGCCAAATGTCGAGATGCAGGTCAATCAATCTACGCTCACCGACCACGGCTAGCCTACAGCTGCAGAGTACTTTGTATGTGTACCGCCTCCGACATCAATTACCTCGCAAGGTAAGCACAGCCCAGCACAGCGGGGATCGGCACTGTGCAGGCGTATAAATAAGCTCCATCCTCTACTCTTTGGTCAATTTATTTTCTCGCGATCTGCAGAGCACACTTTCCATATCTTTTCCCCCTCTCGCACGCCCCGTCCTACACACTTCTATTTCCTCTTCATATTCAAAGCGCCTCGTCGTTCGCTCTCACCATGAAGTGCCAGGTCGGCCTCCTTTCTCTGGCCATGGCCGGCAGCGCCGTTGGCAGCTCGCTGGCCACAGACCTCAACGTCATCTCGCGCTACTGGGGCCAGCTGTCGCCCTACGCCGACAACGACGAGGACTACTTTGGTGTCAACGACGTCGGGGTGCCGGCCGGCTGCGCGCTCGAGCAGGCGCACCTGCTGCAGCGCCACGCCCAGCGCTTTGGCACGGGCGAGTTTGACGACGCGCCCAACGATGCGGCGTTTGCCGCCAAGCTCGCCGCCAGCTCAAAGACGACCAACAGCTCGTTCACGGGCCCGCTTGCCTTCCTCAACGACTACGAGTACCTGCTCACGGAGTCCTACCTGACCGGCATCGGCGCCCAGACCGAGTTTGCCCTCGGCGTCAGCTTCTGGAACCGCTACGGCCGTCTGCTGTACAACGCCACCGCCGGCCAGGTTGCCTACAACGCCAGCAGCCCTGCTGCGCTGGACGCGTCAAGCCAGCCCGTGCTGCGCACCACCAGCCAGAGCCGCATCTGGAACTCGCAGATCTCGTGGGCCCTGGGCTTCTTCGGCCCCTCCTTCCAGCCGGTCCGCGTGCCGGACCCGACGCTCTCGAACTGGACGGCGCCCTTCCGCGTCGTCGTCATCCCCGAGGGCGGCACCGAGAACAACACGCTGGCCTCCTACGACAGCTGCCACAACGACGGCCAGGAGCCCATTGTCGACCTGGGCGACCGGGAGATGTGGCCGTACGTCGCCTCGTACCTGAAGGCGGCCACGGCGCGCCTGCAAAAGTACGTCCCGGCCGGCTTCAACCTCACCACCAACGACACCTACGCCATGCAGAGCCTGTGCGCCTACGAGACGGCCGCGCTCGGCGACTCGGCCTTCTGCGGCCTGTTTACGCTCGACGAGTGGGCCGGCTTCGAGGTCACGCTGGACGCCGAGTACTACTACGACTACTCGTACGGCAACCCGACCGGCCGCGCCCAGGGCATTGGCTATCTCCAGGAGCTGCTGGCCCGTCTCACCAACCAGTATATTTCCGTGAGCAACTCGAGCGTCAACGCCACCATTACCGACAACGCCAAAGATTTCCCCCTTGGCGCCAAGTTCTATGCCGACTTCACCCACGACGACATTATCATCTCCGTCCTCACGGCCATGTCGCTCGACTACCTGCGCGACGCCCCGCCCCTCGGCGCGCACGCCTGGCCCCCAAACCCCAACCGCAACTTTGTCCTGTCCCACCTCACCCCCTTTGGCGGCCACCTCGTCACCGAAGTCTACGGCTGTGCCAGCGCCGACCCGGCGGCCGTGACGGAGCACACCACTGTCTACCGCAACCCTAGTGTCGCCGCCGCCGCTGCCAACGCCAGCGCCGGCGCGCCGCACAAATTCATTCGGCTGCGCCTCAACAACGGCATCCTGCCGCTCCACACCATCCGCGGCGGCGCCTGTGCCGGGCGGACGGACGGCCTGTGTGCGCTGGACGACTTTTTGCAGAGCCAGGCGAACGCGACGGCGCTCGCCAACTATGCCTATGCGTGCACGGGCAACTACACGCTGAGCGATCCGTTTGACGGCAAGGATTATGACGGAACCATTTTTGCGTAACTGGGGGCCCAATTAGCTGCGAGTCCAGTAGCGGAGGAGTGAGGAGTGAGGAGTGAGAGTGAACGCTGCCGAGCGATGGGGGAGCCTTGCGACAGTGCCATTAGGAGAGCGCAGAGCGCTTCGTGAAAAAGAAAACAAAACAAAGAAGAAGCCAAAAAAGCACACGATTACGTACATAATGACCCTGCGTGGGGAACCATAGAATCGATTCATGATTGATGATGACACCAAAGATGCAATATTCGGCAGATAAAGAGCACATAAAAGGCGGACTTCCAGTCCTTATTTGCCGACCCATTGCGCTTGCCTCAGATACAGCCGTCGTAGTCTGCACCTGCTCCTTCCGTCTCACGTCGGACGGGAGTACGTATTTTGGAAAGAACCGCCCGGCCTTCGCAGGGCTCGCAGACAACTGGTATTACGAGACACCGTCGCACTGAGTCGCCACTGCCTCGGACTACAAAGTACTTCGTTGCCCACGTACGAAGTACGGCGTCTTTGTCGCAAAGCACCTTCCGGAAAAGGATGAAGACGCGGGGAAGGTCGCAATCTAACCGTTCTGTCCTACATGATGACTACACGGAAAGCGCGACCCACCCAACTGGTTTTGTGAGGAGCTATTCACGCTCCCACCAAAACACTCCACTCTCTCTCCAGATTAACATGCAGACCTGTGGACGGCGTGACCACAAACCGGACCTTACCGCCAGCAAACTGGCGATAAACGACGTTCCGCGACGAGATACCTCGATATTTCCGCCTCATACGCACACGCATCCTACCCCCGTCCAGTCGTAAGGCAGGAACGTAGATCCTTGTGCGTCTTGCCCTCTCCTCAGTGGACCTCTTGCAAGGGCTCAATTCCTCCACAAATGGTACTTGCCGGCAGTTTGGCCCCAACGACGTCCCATCGCCCTTTCCTATTTGCTGTGTCTCTGTACATCTCCTGCTCCTTGCCTCCTTCCCCGACACTTGCCTCGCACTCGCCATATTAACGTTGCACATCTCCTTCCTCTTTTGCCTTTCTCGTCTGGCCCCCTCCTTTCGTCTGCTCCTTCCCCTCATTTTCATGCCAGATCCTTTCCACGGCGCGAAGCAGTGTCGGCGTAGTGTAAGTCAACACATGACAGCCAGTGCAGCAGCTTAGATGGCTATTCTTGATTGCCCACACTACCTTCCCGACCGCCTTTCTGGTCTTGTTCCGAGGCCAATATACTTACCCCAGTACAGACAGCAATGTTCCTGCCTGTCTATATATGTAGACGTAAATACCCACACGGGAAGGAGCGACGGGTGCAAATCAAAATCGGAAGGGGCCAGCACAAATAATAGTTGAGACCGAGGGAAAGAGCTCTCGTGCCACGCCACTTTCCATTCAGCGTGCCACCTAGTTCCTCAGACGGGAACCTCGATCGCCACTGCCGTGGCTTTTCGTCTCTGCTGCTCAACAAATCCACGCCTTGTTTATTTTGTCTCTTTCTCCCGCTTTGCAGCTCGCCGACCTCTTTTCCCCTCACCCATCATGGTCAACCCGGTTAGAGAAGCGGCCTCACCAGGCGACGGGCCCTCACCGCTGACACCGCAGGTAGATGTGCTCGGCGCCCCAGAGATCTCTGCCGTCGACGAAGAGAAGCAGCCGCCGCAAGTGTCCGCCCACGAGCAGATTGGCGACCAGATCCCGCCTGAGCTGCTCGCCGAGCTGGCACCCAATGGCGAAGGAGAGTACATCCGCCGTCTCGTCAGCGAGATGACCGAGGAAGAGGCCTACGCGATTGTCCAAGAGGGCCTGCGCTTTCACAGCGACGACTGGAACTTCCCGTCTGACATGCGCCAACGCATGGAGCGCCTCGTCACCGAGGGCCCCAAGCAGTACGGACCCTACTACGACCGAGATCTTCGAATCGACGCCGTCATGCTGCGCCACTCCTCGCCTTACCCAGGCGTCCGTGCCGTGGCCGACCCCCAGGACGACGACAGCACCCACGTCGAGACCATCCGCGCCTACTTTTTGGGCATCGGCTGGGCCGTCATCGGCACCTTTGTCTCAACCTTTTTCAACAGCCGTTTCCCGTCGATTGGCCTGAGCGGCTCCGTCATCCAGATCCTGCTCTACCCGTGCGCCAAATTTCTCGAGTTTGTCCTGCCCGACTGGGGCCTCACCATTGCCGGAACACGCCTCTCGCTCAACCCGGGTCCCTGGACGTTCAAGGAGCAAATGTTTGCGACCATCACCTACAATGTTGCCATCTACACCACCAACGCCTACACGATGATCCTGGTGCAGCGCTCGCCCGTGTACTACGGTGAAACATTCATCACGGTCGGCTACCAGCTGATGCTCACGTTCTTTGTGCAGCTCATGGGCATGGGCTTTGCCGGCTACCTGCGCCGCTTCAGCGTCTACCCCGTCAAGGCCCTGTGGCCCACCGTTCTGCCCATCATCGCCATGAACCGCGCTCTCACGCGGCCCGACCAGCACCAGGAGTCGGCCCATGGCTGGACCATCTCGCGCTACCGCTTCTTCTGCTACTGTGCCCTTGGCATGTTTTTCTACTACTGGCTGCCCGGCTATCTCTTCACGGCCCTGTCCACCTTCAACTGGATGACCTGGATCGCGCCCAACAACCTCACGCTGGCCATCCTGACCGGCTCGTCGCTCGGCCTTGGCCTGTTCAACCCCATCACGACGTTTGACTGGAACGTTGCCACGTCGTCGTACGCCGCACTCGCGCAGCCTTTTTTCAGCACGGCCACCATGTACGTCGGCAGCTTGCTGGGCGGCATGGTCATCCTGGGCATTTACTACAGCAACTCGTACAACACGGGCTACCTGCCCATCAACTCGTCCAACGCGTTTACCAACAACGCTACCGTCTTCGATGTCAAAAACGTGATTGTCAACAACACCTTTGTTGACTCGCTGTACCAGGAATACTCGCCGCCCTTTTACACGGCCGGCTATATCCTGACGGTGGGCGCCAATTTTGCGTTTTACCCCGTGTACTTCTTGTACATTATGGTCAACCAGTGGAAGACGGTGTCCGAAGCCTATGTCAACTTCTACAAGGGCTTGCGCTACGGCCGCGGCAACTACGAGGGCGCCAACGACGTCCACAGCCGCCTCATGGCCCGCTACAAAGAGGTCCCCGACTGGTGGTTCCTTCTCATTCTCGTGGCCGCCGTCGTCGTGTCCATTGTGTTCTTGCATATCTACCCGCTCAACACGCCCATCTGGCTCATTTTCTTGGTGCTCGGCATCAACTTGGTGTTTGCTGTCCCACTGTCGTTCTTGTCGGCCACCACCGGCACCAACCTGAGCCTCGGCTCCCTGATCCAGGTCATGACGGGCTACCTGCTCCCGGGCAACCCCAACGCCTTCTTGTTCGCTCAGACGCTCGGCTCGTGGGCCCTCGCTGGCTACGGCGACAACTACGTTCAGGACAACAAAATGGCCCACTATGTCAAGATTGCGCCCCGCGCCGTCTTCCGCTCGCAGATCGGAACCATTATCATTACCTGCTTTGTTGCCGTTGCCACCCAAAACTTCATTCTGGACCACGTCAAGGGTTTGTGTACTCCTAACCAGCCCAGCCGCTTTACGTGTGCCAACGACGGCAATCCCTTGTATGCCAGCTCGCTGATGTGGGGTCTTTTGGGCTCCAACCGCATGTTTGGCTCGCTCTACCCGCTGTTCAAGTGGTGTTTCTTGATCGGCTTCTTGATCGCCCTCGTGTTCCTCATCGGCCAAGGCTATGGCCCAGTCTACCTGCCCCGTGTGCGCGTCTGGTTGCGCGACCGCGTGCTGTCGGCCCGCGTGTTCCGTGTTCTTGACGCAACTCTCTTCCCCACGATCGGATCCTTGCTCTGGCTCAACCCGGTCCTGGTCATCCAGGGCGTCCAGCACTGGGCCCCGTCAAACATGTCGTACAAGACGCCCGGCATGATCTTGAGCTTCATCTTCATGTACTGGCTGCCCCGGCACCGCCTCGCCTGGTGGGAACGCTACAACTACACCTTGTCGGCGGCCCTGACGGCCGGCGTCGCCGTAAGTGCGCTCATCATGTTCTTTGCCATTGGCTACAACCCGGTCAGCCTGACTTGGTGGGGCAACACTGTCAGTGGCGCCGGCATCGATGGGAAGGGCGGTGCTATTCTTCCGTTGCCGGAGCGGGGCTACTTTGGTCCCGCAAAGGGCACGTTCCCGTAGGGAATGCTGCTACCTACAGAGGTATTCAAGCGACGAGCTGCGAAGGAGAGAGCGATGGTGATGGGGATGATGTTGAGGCTGACAAGATTATGAAGGACGTCAGTACGATCTGCTCTAATACGCGTTATTCTATGCAATGATCTATGAATATACGGCTGCTTGCTTTCTCTTCTGTGTTTACTGGACCGTTGCCGCTGCAGGAACTGCTGCCTCTTTCAAAACGACTCGCATGGGCGGCGTATCCCAGAGGACATATGCTTTCTGATCCAGCCAGTCGAGCGAGTCTGGCGTCTCAGGCTCGGCCAGCGTCAGGTCAAAGTTGTACAGCACCTGTGCCAGCACCAGACGTGCCTCGGCATAGGCCATGTTGCGCCCGATGCAGTTGCGCGGCCCGACAGAGAACGGCTGCAGCGCCTCTAGACGGTCTTTGGCATATTTTGCCTTGTTCTCGCCCAAGAACCGCTCAGGCCGAAACTCGTTTGGCGCTTCCCAGTATCCGTTGGCGTAGTTCATTGCCATCTGCCAACACGCCACCGTTGTGTTCCCCGGCACAAACACGCCGGCAATCATGGCCCCACCGGGTGGCGTTACCCGCGGCATTCCGGTGGCGGACGGTGGGTACCGCCGCAGCGTCTCGTTGATGCACGCCAAGACATAGGGAATCGTGGCTGATGTGGCCGTGACCAATGTGATCTCCTGGGCCGAGGCAAACGCGCCGCGCACTTCGGCCGTGGCACGGGCCATGGCCTCGGGGTTTTTGAGCAGCAAATACGTCGTGGCCGTGAGGAGTTTGGTTGTTGTCTCGGAACCGGCGATGACGAGAATGCCCGCGGTGCCCGCAATCTGCTGGATGGTGAGATGCGAGTGCCAGTCCTGCTCGTTCGTTTCCACGAGGCCCTGGATCAAGTCTGGGCGGCGGTCCACCAGGGCCATGCGGCGGCGGATCTTGTCGATGCCGCCCTGGCTGTGGGCTTTCATGGCCTTTGGGAACAGGCGGGCCAGCAGCGGGAACACATAGCCCGTGATGCTCGTGAGCTTGCAAAACAGGACGGCACGGCCCGTGTAGACGGCGGTCATGGCGTCGATCCAGGGCTGGCGGCCGTCGTTGTCGCCGGACGCCAGGTAGCCAAAGGGCTCGCCAAAGGCCAGGTCGCCGATAATGTCAAAGGTGGTCCAGCTGTACCAGCACAGCATGTCGGCGCTTTTCCCCGAGGGGTGGGTGGCGATGTCGCGCAGGCGCTGGACAAGCAAGGTCACGTACTTTTGGATCATGGGCGCCTGGTCGCGCATGGCACGTTCGCTGAAGCCGGGCAGCAGCTGGCGGCGCAGACGGGCGTGGTTGGCGCGCGACTCGGACATGATGTTCTTTTGCACGTTGGCGTTGCTGTACATGCGGGGGTCTTTGCTGAGCTCGTCGACGCCGCCATGCTGCTGCTGCTGCTGCTGCTGCTGCTGCTGCTGCTGTTGCCGTTGCTGTTGCTGTTGCTTCTGCATGCGAGCAATGTCCTCGTCGTCTCCGAGATCGCCCTTGGTAGCCTTGCCGCCCTTCAACAGGTCGTTTCGCCGTCCATAAATGTCCTTCCAGGCGGCAACATCCAGAAAGCTCAGCTGGTCGGGGGCGATGCGCACAACGGGCCCGTAGCGGTCGTGCATGGGCAGGACGTCAAAGGGCATCTTGCCGCGCATCGTGCGGTATATATACGTTGCACGCGTGGCTCGATGCAAGAAGGGGCCTGGAAAGTGCCGCAGCGGGTGGAAGTAGAGGTTGTAGACGACATTGTAGGCAAAGTAGAGCACGATCTGGGGCTTGTGAGCGAGAGCAGCAAATGGGCATGGGAATGAAACCGAAACTGAAAAGGAACATAAAAGGGACAAGGGAATCAGGAAAATGGATGCATACCAGAAACAAACTCGTGTTGGCCAGGCCAAAGGCGCTGAAAGGCTGAATCGCCATGTTGTCGTCGAGAAAGGGATGAAAGAAGCAAAGAAGAAAAAAAAGCAGAGAAGGTACAAAGCAAAGTAAATTACCAAGACCGCAGCTGGGTGTAAGTCCCACGAAGAAATAGAAAACGAAGGAGAGGTGGCCAGAAACAGGGAGCGTCTAATAGCGTACAGCGCCAAGACGTGGTTTGTTTACTTCTAGGGGGAGAAGGAATAGTGCGACATACGATGTACGCACAGGCCTCCAGAACCTCCCACCGTTTTGTTGTTTCTTTGTTCGTTTGTTCTTTGTTCTTTTTGCACCTTGCCACGTTGAAGTTGGACAATAGATATAGAAACAGGAGGGACTAAAGAGACTAAGAGAGAGCGATGAGACTGAAGATACTGGTAGATACGGAAACGCGAGGAAACGTGCGCTTTGGACTTTGTGGATGGACGGCGGCAACGATTGCGCGACATCAACCAACTTGAACGAATCAAACGAGAGGCATCCATGACAGGGATACGAGGTTCGTTTCGCAACACCGACCGGGGTTACTCGGCCAAATACTGCATTTGGAAATTGCAGCCCAAGAGGCCCATCAAAATATTCAAGGGTGGTCACATGGACGACGACTGCCTCCCGTTGGTCCAATTCCGGTAAGATAAACAAAAATAGTGAAGAAAGGGATATGCAGAGCAACGTGGGGGCAGAAATAGGGAACAGCAACCAAGGAATACAACTGTCTGTTGGCACAACGCCGGTGACAATTGTGAGGACGTCGGAGAGAACAGGGCTTACTCATTTGTTTTCGAGGCGGAATCAGCACTCGGGAGCGGCCCGTTGGTCTAGGGATATGTGGGGTCGGCTGTTAATACATTGTCAAACGGACAAGCCGGGGGGATTGTTGCCGGCTAGAGCAAGATGTGCCGGAATACACGAAGGTCCACAACAAAACGTAAGGAGAGACATCCTGCGAGGAGATAGCTGAACGGGAAATACGATGCCATTGCAAGCCCGGAGACATATTAAGTCACACGGAGTGGTGGGAGAGCAGAGTCGATGTGATGAAGACGGTGTTTCGTCTTTCATTTTTAAAAACAGTATTACTATTTTTAATAATAGTAATGATGAATATTGTTCATTCTTTATAGTTCCCGTCCATCTAAGTTAGAAATATTTGAACTAAAAAAGAAAATAAAACCAGCAACAAAAAGCAATTATATTCCCCACAAAAAAAGCGATTAACATCAAATACATGCAATTCACTTTTATGAGACCTTGCTATCCAGTAAGAACAAAAGTCCAAGTACGGCCGTAACAAAGAAAGTACAATGCAGCTCCAGCTTATGGTGTCATTGTACATCGTATTGCAGGGCCGTTCTCAAACAGCAACACCTTGTGCCAATACACCGTCACTATTCTATCCAAGAGATCCTCTCTCGCCCTACACCTCTCGTAGATGACGCATTATGTACGAGTACGGGGACAATAAATCTCCAAAGCCAATATGCCGTACCGCTTTTGTCATCTGGTGAGGCGGTATTGGGAACCCACGGTACGAATTAATTACTTCAGACCTGTTCTAGCCCTGGTGTTAGAGGGCTCTCTACTTTGCCAACTGGCCTAGCGGTAGCGGTCTAGTTCCTATAGACGGCTTATTCGCCAATTCACGTGACCAGGTGATCGCCGTGACGTGCGCCCCACTGTGCCGCAGGAAGGTCCGTGGCTCCTTGGCGCCTTCCCCCCAATCTTAATTGCCCTTGCGCACCTGGACGGCAGGAGCGACCCCCGACGATCTGCATCAGCTTTTGGGCTATCGACATTTACAGAGAACGAGGCAATAGTCGGAAGCTGTAGAGCGCACCAGCCAACAAAGGACAGCTCGCCGTCTTGCCCGACAGCCGCCTCCAACCGACACACGCCAGACACAATGGCGGGCCACGCCAAGGATGCTGGCTACGAGCCGGTTGCCGGGGTGGATGCCATCGACGGCATGGAGCTCGAGCAAAGAGACAAAGGGGCGCGACGCTCTGGCGACGGCAAAGACCCATTGGGCTACCGCAGCGTCTCCCACGAGGACGATGCCGCTGCCGACGACGGCGCCGACGACGAGACACGGGGCTTTCTTGCATCGGCATCCGGTGGGGCCGGCGCCGGGCCATCTGGAGCGACATTTGTTCCGGCGAACGTCCACCATCGATCGGGCGACGATGCACCGCCGAAGTGGCTGTCTCGGCGCACCGTCCGCGTGGTGGCCATCTCGTTTGTGACGTGTCTGGCCGTGTGCGTCGGCTTCAAGTTTGTCGCCGACAACACGGGCTTGGTGCTGTCGCTGGCGCATGCCCAGGAGGCGACCGGGGACGGCGGCAAGGACAGCAGCGGCAACGAGAACTGCCGCCCGACCACAGTGACTGTCCCGCAGTACTTCCAGACGACGCCGCAGCTGTTTGCGGGCCCTACCGCGACGGGGCGGCCGGCGTTTTTGGCGCAGACGGTGACCATTGACCCGACAGCGACGTACGTGGCCAACCAGCCGCTGCAGACCAACATTCTGGTCGACGGCGTGCCCTCGGACGGCAGCGGCCGGTCCATCTTCCACCACATGGGCTACCTGTCGCCCTACCAGCCCGCGCCCGGGTTTGGCGTGCAAGAGTATGCGCTGCCGCCCGGCGCCGAGATTGTGCAGCTGCAGATGCTGTCGCGCCACGGCTCGCGCTACCCGACCAGCGGCGTCAACGTCAAGGCGCTGGGCGAGAAGCTGGCCAAGTTCCGGGGCAAGTTCAAAGCGACGGGGGCGCTGGCGTTCTTGGAGGACTGGGCGTACAGTCTGGGTCACGAGATCCTGGTGCCCAAGGGCCGCCAGGAGCTGTTTGACTCGGGCGTGCTGCACTCGTACATGTACGGCAGCCTATACAACCCCAACAGCAAGATCATTGTGCGGACGACGACCCAGGACCGCATGCTCAAGTCGGCCGAGAACTTTATGGCGGGCTTCTTTGGTCTAGAGTGGTGAGCTTGCACATAACCCCCCGCCTTTCTTTTGCCCCTGAACATCAGGATGTCCCACAAATGTCGCTGACAGGTTAGGACCAACAATGCCACCATCGAGGTCATTATCGAGCAGGACGGCTTCAACAACTCGCTCGCCGGCTACCTCAACTGCCCCAACTCGCAAAAGGACACGGGCGGCAACGAGGCCAACGCCATCTGGGTCGAAAACTATCTGCGCAACGCCACCGCACGCTTCCAGGCCCTGCTCTCCGGCGCCAACGGCTTTGACTGGACCATCCAGGACACCTACGCCGCCCAGACCATGTGTCCCTACGAGACGGTCGCCTATGGCTTCAGCCGCTTCTGTGACCTGTTTACGTACGACGAGTGGGTCGGCTTTGGGTACTCGACCGACCTGGTGTTTGCCGGCGGCAGCGGCTTCCAGTCGGCCACGGGGCGGGCCGTCGGCATTGGCTACCAGCAAGAGCTGGTCGCACGCCTGCGCAACCACACGCTGGGCTACGCCGGCTCGCAGATCAACACCACCCTCGACAACAACACCGACACCTTCCCCCTCAACCAGAGCCTCTACCTCGACTTCTCGCACGACTCCAACATGGTCAGCGTCTTGACCGCCCTGGGCTTCACCCAGTTCGCCCAGTTCCTGCCGCCGTCGTCCTACCCGGGCCCCCACAACTTCACTCTCGCGCACGTCGTGCCCTTTGGCGCGCGGCTCGACGTGGAGGTGATCCGCGCACCGAAACCCGTCAAGGCCGACCGCAGCGGCTACGACGACGCCGGCCCCGAGACCAAGTACATCCATTTTGTGCTCAACCAGCGCACCCTGCCGCTGGGTGCCAGTTTCCCCGAGTGCGACGTGTCGCGCGTCGACGGGTGGTGCGAGCTCGAGACCTTCTTGCGCGTGCAGGACGCCATGGCGGGCCGCGCCAAATTCGACGAGGCCTGCTTCGGGCCCTTTACGGCGCAGCCGTACGGCACAATCACGGACGGCGCCCCAATCTAGGATGGCGGGGATGGATACCGTTTTCTGTACTTTTTAAATAGCCTTGGTCATGACACTCTTTCTTATTGGCGTTGGGGTATTGTCATACTGTCGTTACATTTTATTCTGTCTATCTAGCCTGTACGAACAAGCGTACTCTCTTTTAATTTGAGGGCAAAGAACCCACCGGTTGTAATTCCATGAAATCGTCGGCCTGCCCTATGTGTCCTTCCAGCCCATCTCTAGGGAGTAAATACAATCTACCTGTGGCACAGCCCAGAACACGCCTACTCTCTCTCCTTCACGACCAGACCCCACTCGTGCGCCTCGCGGCCGAACATGATGTCGCTGATCCACGACTTGATCTGCAGCGTGTACTTTCCGCCTGTGGACGACGCCATGGGGACGGGAATGTCCTCGCCGCGGTGGTGCACCATCGACACGGGCGCCACAAAGTACGCCGTGCCCGCGGCAAACGCCTCCACGAGGCGGCCCTCCTTCTGGGCCGTCTGCAGCTCGGCAATCGTGTAGCGCCGCTCCACCACCTCGACCTCGCCGGCCAGCCGCTCGCGCGCCAGCTGCACGATGCTGCGGCGCGTCACGCCGTCGAGGATCAGGCGGTCGTCGAGCGGCGCCGTCACCAGCTGGGTGGTGCCTGCGGGCGACCGGAGGACGACAAAGAAGTTGCTGGCGCCGGCCTCGGTGCAGTAGCCCTCGGGCCCGTACAGCCACAGGACCTGGTGGAACCCGCGCGCGCGCGCCTCCATGGTCGCCTGCAGGCTGGGGCCGTAGTTGGCGCCGACCTTGGCGTACCCGAAGCCGCCGACCCACGCGCGCACCATGTCCTCGGGGCTCGTGTGCAGGCGCAGGCCGCCGGCGACGGCGTTGAGCCGCGGCAGATAGGTCGCCGTGATGAACAGCAGGGCGGCCCGCGGCGGCTGCACGCCCAGCTGGGGCTGCGTGCCGATCATGGTCGGCCGCAGGTACAGATACTCGTCCGGGCCGCCGCCGCGCGGCAGCCACTTGGGCCCGTCGACGGCCATGAGGGCCACAATCAGCTTCTCAAACTCGACCGGGTCGAACGCGGGCAGCGAGATGCGCACCGCCGACGTCAGCATGCGCCGGGCGTTGCAGTCCGGGCGGAACAGGCGCAGCTTGTCGTCGACGCCGCGGTACGCTTTGAGGCCCTCGAAGCACTCCGTGGCGTAGTGCAGCACGGACGCCGTGGGCATGAGCGACAGCGGGCCGTAGGGCCGCAGTCGGGGCGCGGCCCAGCCGGTCTCGACGTTCCATTCGACCGTCACCATGTGGTCGGTGCAGATCGTCTCGGTGCCGGAGCAGGCGGCCTCGATGCTGGCGGGCACCGGGCGGGGGCTGGTGGTGAATTCGTAGGTGAGCTTGGAGGCGTCGAGCTCAGCTTTTGCGGAGCCGTTCTTCGACTTGGCGATCTCTGCCAGCTTGTGCTCCAAGGCCTGGCCGGTCAGGTCCACGGACTGCTCGTTCTTGTGCTCGGCCGCCGCCGCCTCGGAGGCAGGGCTGGTTCCGTAGGTATTCGCAGAGGGAGTCATTGTGAGAAATATATTGGGGGGATGTAGGAAAACAAGAACGAAGGTCGGGCTGAACGAATTGCAAAGCGAAAGGCGCTACGACGGCAAGAGCTGTGTGAGAGGACGAGCCCGCGTTTTGCCCGTCGAGGAAAGAGCTGCTATATACCAAAAGAGGAAAGAAGGAGCCTGTGAGTCAGCTCAAAAAACAACTTAGTTGTGAAGTTGGTGAGACTGGGGCAAAAATGGCCGAAAGGGTGCCAGGTTGGTACAAGTCCGAGAGCGGAGGCCAATATGCAGGGAGAATAGCAGCAAGAAACTTTTGTAAAGAGAGAGAGACAGACAGACAGAGAGAGAGAGGGTGACTCTTTTTATTTGGATCCAAGTAAATATAGGGACAGAGGACGTGGAGGCAGGAACAAAGGTGCCCGGCACAGCGCAAAGGCAAAAATAGAAAGGGGAGACCAACCGAACTAGAAGGAGTGGAGAGCCACAGAGAAGGAACGATTGACAGACAATGTGAGCAAGAAAAAAAGGAAAAAAGAAAACGAAAAAGGCCAGGAACGTAGACAAAAACAGGAAAGAACGAACTACCAACCGCGACCGAGTGCGCCTTCCTCCACGTAAGATATTCCACGCCAGAGGGAGTGGCCAAGGCCTAAAAAGTAAAGAGCCCCCACTCTCCCGCCGCCGACTAACACGAAAGCCGCACCAAAAATGCAAGCGCGAGGCCGAGGAGAGGGTGGAAGGAAGGCGGCCAAAAAAAAAAAAAAAAAAAAAAAAAACGTGGACACCATCTCTCGGACATGGACGCTCCTTGTTCGACCCGTATCCGATTTTGTGTCTTCTGGTATTGGTCAATGGCCGGGCAACCTCCAACGCCCAATTCTTGAGAGCGGACAGACGCCCCTCTTCCGTGCATTCTGCAGGCCGACATGGCCCGTGTCTGCAGTCGAATCCTGCAAAGTTCTGGGCATTGGGCAAGCCCGGCAGCCAGATGTTTCTCGAAGCGTTCCTGTCTAGGTCGGGCTTGTCAAGTAAAGGGCGTCTCGGCAGACGCGAGTGCGGGGAGCATTGTGTCGGTCTACGGGCTGTCAGATATGAGGATATGTGACCGAATGAGATCATCCCCCATGCACGATTGCATGATGGTCGTGAGAGACGAGATAAGGCCCGTGGGTAGTCGGCAAGGTCCGCTCTCATGCCTCTTTTATGACAGCAGACAAAGGCTGACGCGTAGAAGGGACAAAGAGGGTCGGCACAGCGAGAGCGGTCAAGGTTGCTGAGGGTAGAGTGTGATCCCAGCGAGTTCCTACGATATGTAAACAATGTTTGTTATGTAGCCTCCGATGTACTTTTTGGTTTTCTTTTCGTTTTCTTTTCCCCTTCTTCGTTTTTGGATGCTCTTTTCTTTCGCCATTTGTACTGTCATAAGACAAGACGTGCTAGTCTTAGTCGGGAAGGACGTGATAAAACATCAAAGTCCGAGATCCCAGGCTAGTGGATGCGCTTATATCTAGACTTTACGTATCTTCCGTACTTCCCTCCCTTCTGTCTTTTTCCAGACAAAAGTTAGTGCAGCAACAGTTTATTAGTGTCCATCTCTGCCTTTTCAAGCCGCTTCTTCGCCGTGCTCATGTTCGTCTTTCCCTGTTATCAATCCTGACGTTGGTGTCACCCATTTTGTTCCTGTCACTGCCCCTGGCTCAAGTGATCACCGCTATCCAGTGCCACTGTCACCGTGAGATCTTAGCAGGACCTCCCATTCTTGCGTCATTCACCTCCGATCTCGCCGGGAAGACACAAACCGAACGAGGCGCGTTCACAGGATCATGCAATGCAGACGTCAATCTGTACTTCACCATAGCCAATCATTTGATGGTTTCCTTTCCTTTTCTGGGCATACCCGGGGAAGCGGTTCTTTATCGCCGGCAGGTTAAGTCCTGAACCAGTGGTTGCTTCTCTGTATTTCCACCGCCGTGGCGTGCCGAAGTCACCCCAATTCCCGTTGCTAGCCGCAACTAGACGAGAAGCGCGTTAAAAGCAGCACACCGCCTAGCAATGAATGTTGTAGGATCAGGAGCTTTTTCCTTTGACCAAAATGTCGAAACGAAAGGGCCGCCAAACCAATTGGAACACCCCAACAATTTACAGGTCACCTGGATCAGAAGTTTAAAAGTGTCCGAGTAAAGGAGTCTCGGAAGAGGCAGATCTGCAGGGCAAACGGCCTCTAAGATGATGGTGTGAAGATGGCAATCCGTCCCAGCAGGCGATTCGACTCGGAACAGCATACGGCACACGTTCCGTACTCACGGCTCATGGGCATGCAAGCAACACCTTGGTGCAAGAGGCCAATGCACTCCATCCTTTTCGTAATGCAATAATGATATTCTCAACACAGGTTAGGCAGGTCTGTTGAAGACCGAAATGTGGTATTATCCCTTCTTTTTGTTTTTAGACGCCAAAGAATCGAGGAAGAACAAATCCCATGCGAAATAGAGATAAAATGACGTGACTAAGAAAAAAAAAAAAAAAAAAAAAAAAAAAAAAAAAGAAAGACAATAAAATGGTACATTAGGAAAGTCACTTGTTGGCGCAGTTGGCTGCAGGTGGCTACCTGCTCGCCTCCTTCTGCCGCTGCTCCTCTTCCATCTGCTCACGCCGCTTGTGCGCGGCCTCCACGTCTGCCTTGGCACCCTTGGCCCGCTGCCGTGCCTCGTACCGGTCCCGGCTGGCCAGGATCCGGTCCACAATCGTGCCGGCGTTTACGTCGGCGAACTCGTGCGGGCCCACCGGCTCGTAGATGCCCATGGCCTTGGGCTCCGTGTAGGGGTCGTACGTCAGCGGGATGAACGCCGTGGGGCCGTGGTAGACGGCGTCGGGGATGCCCCAGGGGAGCGACGACAGGTACTTGCGCGTCGGCGAGAAGGGCGCGCCAAACACAACGGCGTTGATGTACCGGCACTGCAGCACGCACAGGCCGCGCTCGTAAATGTTCATAATCGGGTAGTTGACGCCTTTCCACTCGTTGATGACCTCGTCGTCGTGCACGCCGGCCACCACAAACGCCGGCGGGTAGTCGCCCGCCGCCTTGCCCTGGCGCTCGGCCACGGCCTCGGGCGCATACCAGCCGTCGGCGCGCGCGCGGGCCTCCTCGGCCTCGTGCACCCGCTGCAAAAAGGAAATGTGTCCGCTCGAGAACAGATCGAAGCCGCCGTCGACGTACACCACGCGCTGGCCAATCTGCGGGCCGCGGCCCTGCACAAGGTCCGTCAGTGCGCCTTTTGCGTCGGGACCGGCATCCGGGGCGGGGTCCTTCCAGAACCACACGTCGACGCCCGGCTTCTTGGCCGTCTCGTCCGTCGCATACAGCCGCATCCGCTCCGCCATCGCCTGGCCCGTCGCTTTGCGTTCTGCGTCTGTGCCCGGGCCCTCGCGCCCCGCCAGCGTCTCCTCCAGCGACCGGATAAAGTGCGTCTTGGTGCACAGCAGCATGCGGCCCACCAGGTCCGTCGTCGAGATGCTCGGCGTCCGCTTCACCACCTTGAACCGGTGGGCCGCCTTGACGAACCGGTAGCAGTCCTCGCCCGACCCGTCCGATGTAATGTCGTCGCCGTGCACCACGTAGCGGCAGCCAAAGTGCGACACCCACTCGAGCGTCGTGACGTACGGCGCGTTGGGCACCGACTGCGTGACCCAGCGGCAGGCCTCGACGGCAATCAGTCGCTCTCGGAGGTTCATGACGGTGGGGCCTTTGTTCTCGAGGATGGCCTCGTCCGAGTGCACGCCAATGTAGAGCTCGTCGCCGAGCTGGCGGGCCTGGACAATGGCGCCGGCGTGGCCTGCACGGGCGGAGTTAGCCCGAGTCTGCAAGGAATTATTGAGTCGGCCGCACATACCATGGTGGAAGAAGTCAAAGCAGCCGTCGACCCAGAGCCGGCCGTCGAGCAGCTCCGGTGCCGGCTCGCCTGGCGGGGCACCGTCGGAAGACATAGTCAATGCGGTGGGTGGTGGTGTGTCGGTGAGAGAGGTAGACACAAGGATTGCCGCCTAGCGAGAATGGTACAGCTTGCCAACAGGGAGAGGTTGGTTGGGAGAAGGCTGGAGAGAGTCGTTTGACGGCCAAGGAGGTTGTTACGCCGTAAAGTTAAGGGACGTGGGACTTGCCCCTTCCGTTCTGCACTAATAAATTCACCCGTTGGTGGGTAGCTCCTCCCCCCTTGTGGGATGGCGGGACATTGTGTGGCCGAAGCCAAGCAAGAGCAAAGCAGCGGTAAACCGTGGCTGTTTTTTTCTTTCGCGATAAGACATGTCTCTTGTTGTGCACTGTCAGTGGCTGTTTTATCAGCTATTACTTTGGCATTTAACCGTTGTCATCATTGACAGCAGAATCGGTGCATTGGTCCAGCTCTCTTGCTCCCCGCCAGATTTTGAGCTCCAGGAGCTGCTCCAGTAGCGCCTTCCTTAGTTGTCGTTCCTGCCCGCGCCGTCCAATACAGGCCCCACGTTGGCTGCCAATACGGCAAGAGCATACGAGTGCGAAAGTGCGTCCCGTACATATCACGAAGCTGCAGCACGGCTGACTTGTAGGTCTCTCCATTGGGCAATTTCGGCCGACGTCGCGGTTGTGGTATTGCTGTACTTCTGATTGCAGCTATCTATGGTACGTGCATGTCATTCCAAAGTGCCAGTACGCCAATGGAAGTCAAGGCGCTCAAGTCAAAAAAATCATAATCAACCTGCAAAAAATGATGTAAATAAAACGCTACCTGCATCTTCCTTAAACATACAAGTGTGTCCTGCGTGGTCCCTATCAAACAAGAAAACAAGAGAAATATGAAGGGAGACAGAGACACTAAATCCTCCAAACAGCCATGAGAGTCCCTGGCCATCCCCTGTAGATAATACCTGCCCTTTTCCTGCAAGTCCTCCTCATTCTTCTATTTGTACAGCCCCTCTACCGCTTCTTCACGCTGGGCCGGGGCTTGCACTCGTCTGGCAGCACCGGGTGCAGCATGATCTTGGTCGGGTATTGCGCATTGTTGCCCTGATAGCCCTTGGCCCAGTCGTACGACACGGCGTACACAAATACCTTGCCGTCGCGGTTGAACTTGGCCGATGTGATGCTGCCGCCGACCGACGGGTAGCCCTTGAGCCGGTGCTTGGCGTCCTTGTCCCAGAAGTGGAACGTGCCGTCGGAGCCGGCCGTCGAGAAGGTGCCGTGTGCCGGGTTGAAGGAAATGTCGTTGACGGCGTACACCAGCGTGGTGTTGTTCTGCGGCGCGTCGCGGTGGCAGCGGAACGAGAAATTGGAGCTCGAGTCCTTCTCCTCGACGTACTGCATGGCACAGCGGCCTTCGATGCTGCCAATGGCAAAGCCGGCCGAGTCGTTGAAGCAGGTGACGACGCGCGTCTGCCACTTGAGCGGGCTCTGCAGCGTCTTGTAGAGCTTGGTGGGCTCCTTGAGGTTGATGACGTTGATGTAGCGGTCGGCCGTGCCGACGACGAGCAGGTTGTCCTTGACGTCCATGGTGTAGACGCGCTCCTGGCACTGCACGGCGGCCACGGGCTGCTGCTGCCGCAGGTCCCAGTACTTGATCGTCTTGTCCCACGAGCCCGTGACAATCATCTGCTGGCCGCCGTCAATCTCGAAAAACTTGACGGACCGAATCGGCTGGTCGTGCTGCGCGACAATGTCGTTCTTTCCCGACTCCAGGTCGCACAGGCGGGCCTGGTTGTCCGCGCCGGCCGACACGACGCGCTTGCCGTCCTTGGCAAAGTGGCAGCTGAACACGGGCGCGTTGTGCTCGTACATGAGGCGGCCCTCGGACGCGCCGGTGCTGGTGTTGACCTCGTAGATGCGGACCTTCTTGTCCCAGGAGGCCACGCTCATAAAGTCCTTTGGGTCGTTTGTGTTGGGGTTGAAGGACAGGTCCGAGATGCTGTCCTCGGGCGGGTTGGGGACCGCAACATCGCCCTTGAGGTCGCCGACCGTGGTGTTGGCCTGCGTCGTCGTCGCGGAGCCAAAGAGAGACATGATGGCGGTGTAGACGTAAAAACGGCAGAAGACGTGTCGTGTGACGCGTGGAAGTCGTGGAAAGAGAGGGTCGTCGCCAGTTCGCTCTCGTCGGCCAGAGACGACGTTGTCGTGCAGGACTGCTCGAGGGGGGGGGGGGGGGGGCGGAACCTCTGCGGAGGTTGACCAGGTCCTGAGGCAAAACAATCGGGAGCTGGTAAGGTAGCCCGGAGAGGTCTGGCTCGTCGTCAGTGAAAAGAGTCGCGAGGCAATAGGACGATCGTGGGTGGTGGAAAGAGGCGAAACAAGCAAAGAATTGAACGCAAGAGCCTTGTGGTCTTTGCGTGCCTTCCGTCTGTCTCACAGCGATATGCGTCGCACCTGTGGTTTTCCCACCCAATTTTTTTTTAGCGCGTCAAGGCTGCTTGCACAGGCGGTGGCTGGGCGGAAAGGCGCAATAAGCTTGAGCTTCAGCGGTGACACGCTACTGGCGGCGTAGGTAAGGTAGCTTTTGTACGTCGCAGGTTTGGCCACAAATGTGACGATGGCCAACACCATATGCGCAGTGGCGTGTCAGGCAAACATGCAACTTGGAAATAGCAAGAATCGTCCAATATAATTGTCGGAATGCAGAAGCTCTTCTCTGCCTACAAACCCGCCGTTACTGCCTTGGGTCGACTTGGTGCCTGGCAGGCCCAATCTGCTAGCTGCGAGTATTACATAATACACCCGACGCACTACCGGTGCTCACCGCCTTTTCGGCAGAATATGTCTCCACACAAAATTCTGCTAGAAAGCACATTTTTGAACCTTTCGTTTTTGGCTTCCCTCTTTCCTCTTCTTCTCTTTTCTGCTCAAGTCTCCTCGTCCGACCAAATCGCCGTCGAAGCATCAACGGAGACGGGAGGGCTCGTCTCGCTCGTCTCGACCATACTTTGGCTTTGGGAGAAAGTCCCCGGACAGTCTCTTTTTTCGAAAGAAGAAAAAGCGCTGCAGAAATGCGCCGCCGTAACGACACCTGCGGCTGATCTCTGCCCAGACGAGGCTCTCACTTGCTCTTCTCGTTTTGCTTCCCACACCCTTTTTCTCTTGGTTTTCTTCCTGCGACTCTTCTTCTTCCCGTTCCAGCCCTTCTTTTCCTGAGTCTGTTCCGTCGACTGGGGAGCCTTCCTCTTCCATTCCAAACCCTTCTGTCGTTTCCTCTTCATCTGCCCTTGCCACCCCGTTCGGCTTCCTTTTTTGCCTTGGACTGGATTCCCCCTTTCTACCTGTTGTCTTATTCCAAACTCGTTTTCTTTCTTGTTTTGTGTTTTTCGACTTTTCATTTCCCGTCAAGTCTCTTCTGGTGCGGGTTGTGTTGTATTCCGATTCTCGTTTCGGGTCTTCGAGGGAGTTGTCTTGGTGAACACCGTTCTTTTCTTTGTTTACTTTCTGTTTTTGGGCGGCTGCTGCCCTCTTTTGTTTTCGCTTGGCCACATGAAGGGCGGCCAGAGATGGTACGCGATCAAGGCATTGCTTCGGGCGTCTTGGTGCTGTCGCTTTCGTCTACTTGGTTCTTGGTATTTCTGTTACTTTTCGGCTTTTGCTCTGTGCAGTGGATGGCACCACCTATGGACGAAGATATGAGTCCGCTGTCATTCTGCCGTGGGGGCAGGACTGCGAGGTGGCAGTTATACCGGGCCTTGTGGGTGGGATGTCGGTATCTAGTCCGTTTTGTAATGCTGGCGTCCGTGCCGGAGGTCTCCTGGATTGGCCTTTGTTGAAAGGAGGAGGTACCAGCGGTTCTCAAGGCAAAGAGTGGACGAGGCAAAGTGGCGGTTACTAAGCTTGGCGGCGTTATTATCTCGGACGACCCAGAGGGGGTTTAGGGCGGCATTGCTCGTGTCGTTGAGATGGGATCCTTGAAGGCGATGATCTTTAACGAAGAAAGCGGGGAGATCTCAGAAGAAGGGGAAAGTACAGCCCTTTGCTGGAAATGGAGGCTGGGGAGACGAGGCGGTTGAAAAAGGAGGTGGGAGGGGGATGAGGCTGGGCAATGATCCTGTGGCGGAGCAGGAGAGGGACGAGGTGGGTGGGTTGAAGAGGATGAGGGGATACCGTTTTGCAGAGAAAGGATGGGCGGCGGAGGAGACGAGGGTCTCGGGCGGGGAGTGTTTCGTCCATTTTCATAGGCATGCGATTGCTCGCCAGATGCAGAAATGCCCCTCTGGCGAGTTACTCGATGGGGCTTATTCTCGGAGCGGGGAGGCTTCACACATTCTATCGACCTCTTCTGTCACTTGTCTGTTCTCTTGTTTCTTGAACTAGAAAACAGGATGCGAGGCCGATAACGATGGAGATCGCTGGCCGCCGACACATGAGACAAGCAGATGGAGGAAGCGAGACGCCAGACACTCTTCAGGAGTTGCTTTTTTTGTCTGAGAAAAGCTTCGCCGACTTGTCTTTTGCTTTCCTCCACTTCATTCGTCTTGGATGTCGGCGTGCTCTGAGGACTTTGTTCTTCTGGGACCGTCTGGGGGTTGTTTCTCGTGAGGGCTCTGTTATCTCGGGGGCTTGCTATCGGCGGAAGTTCAACATGATGATTCATACATAGAGTCAAGCCCTGATCTGGATAAACCCAGTGTGATGACTCAACGTACATGCGTTATGGTTTCTGAACGAACTTTCAGGCCGCGTCTTTGTCAAGTGGCGACGCGTTTTGTTTCCTGTTTCTGCCCCGACACTCAAGATCGTCAAGATTGGTGAAAATAATAAGATAATGAAATAATGGAATAGTATACTCTCCTATTTGTCCAAGCTGTCATGATATCTGACTGATATCTTGAAGCAACCGTACTTGCAAATGCCGATGGAAACGCCGTTGCTATAAACCTTCCAAAAAGATTCTAAACCAAAGTGACATGAAAAGGACACAACCGACTAATTACAGACCACCCTCCTCAACTCACATTAACCCACTCAGGACAACTTTGCCCACATTGGCGACCTCCATCTTGACGCCCCCGCGGCTGTGGTCCTCGAACTCCTTGACCACGTTCTGCACCAGCAGCTTGCGAACACGCGCGTCCGCCTTGCTGAACAGCTCCAAAACGAGCGGCGTGCAGTCGCGGGGCGACACCATGAGACTCAGGATACGCTGGTAGCTGTCAATGAGGACGTCGCAGAGCGTGGAAAAGGTCTCGAAAAAGTCTGGGTCAAAGGGCAGGCTGGGCGTGAGCAAAAACGTGTACTCCTCGCCAGGCAGCAGGTCGGTGTTGTTGTCGTAGTAGGTGGCAAACGCGGTCGAGGTGACGTAGCCGGTCATGGACGACGTGCCGATGCCGCCGCTCAGGCCACCCAGCCCGCCGACGCTGGAATTGCTCAGCGCAGCAGCGCCGCTCGGCAGCGGCGGCACGCCGCCGTTCCCGCCGTTGGCGCCGGCATGGACACTGCCGGCGCTCTCGCTGTTGACGAGGGTCAGGGCGCTGCCGCCAAGGCCGTCGGCCAACCCCGAACTGCTGCCGCCGCCCGACGACGAGGGAGGCACCATGTTGGCGGCCCCCGATGCGCCGCTGCTGGCACCAGCCGTCGACATGCTGCCGTCAAAACTGCTCCCGAAATCGTTGGACCCCGACGCCGCGCTGCTGCTCGTGCGCCGCACCTTGGACCCGGGCGTGCGCCGGAACATGTTGGGCAGGCGTGCGGCCCGGGACAGCGAGCCGGCGCCGCTGCCCGAGCCGGGTTCAGAGTGCAGCTGCTGGAACGACTCGAACTCGGTCATCAGGGCCCCCAGGCTTCGGAGCAGCTCAATGACGTTGGCCGAGTTGAGGTCGACGACGGCAGGCACCGACAGGCCGAGCAGCAAGTAGTTGGTGGCGCGGCGGCTGAGGCGGCGGGTGTCAAAGTAGGACATGCGGTTGATGTCGGGGCGGTCGAAACGCAGCGTGTTGAACCAGTAGACACGGCCCTCGTATCTATCAAGAGTTAGGCACTGTACACAGGCAGGGGGGAGGGAAGTAGAGGGGGGGAAAGGGGGGACTCACGCCTTCCGTAGATAGTCCAACGTGGAAATGCGCTTGTTAACCATCTCCTGGATGTGATGGTACAGCACTGCGCCGTCAGAGGACGCGGCCACGACGGCCGAGTTCGGACTGGAGCCGGTCGGAACGGAGAGACCCAGTCCAGTGGTGGCGGGCGTTGAGAGGACCCCGCTGAGCATTTTGTTTGGGGCCGAAGCAGATGGATGTGTAAAATTGTGCGTAAAATAAGAGGTTGTGACCGGGCTGGTCGGCACAATCGTGGTAGCAGTCGTCGAGGAGGACAAAGTGGCGGTCGTAAATGTGGACCAGGTCTTGACGGGCGACGCGTTTGGACTGCTCGACGGAACGACGTGGATGTTGGGCGACGCAGAGATGCGCTCTGTGGCCGATGCAGTGGCTGAGGCCCAGTCGGACGGTAGGGGTGGCGGCCAGGTGTCTGCGGTGTTGGTGCTGACGATGTAGCTGACGCCTTCAGCGTGTCCCACGTTCCCCTTTTTCGGATTGTCGTTGCTGCTGCCAAAAGCAATGCTGCTGGCGCTCTTGTGGCGCTGGTGGTGGAACAGGGAGCCGATGCCGGAGCTTCTGGTGCCGTTGGTAGTGGATGTGGAAGCAGACGTGGATGCGGACGTGGATGTAGAGTTGGTCGACGTCAAGGTCGAGCCGCGGCTGCGTGTGAACGAGGCCTTTTTGCTCAGGGATGGCCGGCGCTCCTTGGTCAGGACGTTGGGCTTGTGGCGCTCGCTGCTAGTGGTTCCGCTGCCGGTTGATACAGGCGGTACAAAGGGGACGGCCGGGAGTGGTGGTGGGGGAATTGAGGGCGGTTCCCGTTGAGGCACAAAGGATGAGGCGGAAGCGGAGGAAAAGGGGGAGAACGAGGATGACGGTTGGACGGTGCGGAAGGCTTCGCCGGCACTGGTCGTCGGCCGTGGTCGAGGCTGCGCAGAGGAGGATGCGTACGTATAAGCGGCGGTGGAGTTGGCGGACGGTGGTGCGTGGGACGGCACGTTGTCCGTGTACGTCGTGTATGTGGTCGTGGTCGAGTCCGTGGTTGACGTCGTGTTGAAGACGGTTGAGAATAGGGGACCCGCATTTTGGCTCGCCAGGGTCGTGCCTGCCGTCTCGCGACTGGCTGCAGCGGAAGCCATGCTGTATTACTGGATCCCTTTCTCTGGCCAGTCCCTCCTCCCTTTTTTGGTGCAGTTTTAGCTCCTTCCCTTCTTAGCGACCCCTCTGATCTGACCCCAGGCCTTCAGCTTTTCGTCTTCTCCCACTGCGTTTGTATGTCTGGATTCCGAGATCTTTGTGTCTTTCTTTCTGTTGTGCAATCGCTAGTGAATACTACCGGGATGGTATTTTTGCTGATTTTGGCGATCTCGTTACGCGACGCAAGCTGCCCGAGTGTCCAGAATTGTGCGAGCAGCCACACACCAAGCGCATCTTGGTTTGGCAGGCGCGACCGTGGTGACCACAACGATCGCGAGGCACGGGAGTACAGGCAAGCTGCGGCTCGCTACTGAGAAGAGCGAAACGCGGCACACGGCTGGAGATTGAGGGCTAATTGGCACTGCAAACAGTGTTGGAAACTGGTGTTGCTTGGAAAGGTGTTTGGAAAACGGCGAGATCATCCAGGTTGTCCAGGCTGGCGTCGATCGCGAGTGGAAGACACTGATGGCAGCAAAGTGGCGAAGAAACGAAAGAGAAAAGAGATAATAGAAAAGACAAATCATATGATAAACAAGAGAAAGTTTGGCATTCGCGACGGCGGCTCAAAAATGAAAGGCTAAAAGACAGAAGCAACGGGAAGAGAAGCAGGCAAAACACAAAAGGTAGATCAGAGAGAGGACGAGAAAGAGAGAGAGCATTAGACTGACGCAAGTGAAAAAAAGTGCTCCAACGGGTATATAAGCCAAGCTCTGTTTGCTCACCCAAGAAAACAAGCATACTCCTTGGCGTGTGGCTTGTCGAAGCGTGAGTGAGAGAAGAAACACAGTCCGGCTCGGACACGGATACTATGCAGCAAAGTCTTGTCATAACAAGTGACTTTGTTCCACGGGTGCAGGATGGTGTTCCCAGCTAGTCGCTACCAAAAACCAAAGAGACGGACCGTGGGCTCGAACTCTGGTTGCATGCCATATGGAAAATAATCGGGCGTGATGTTCAACGAGATGGGAGCGGCAAGTCGATAGGATGAAAAGGCTGCGTCCTTCATTGGCACGAATAATTTTCTGAAATCCAAAGGATACGATACGAGCAGACTCAATCGTCGTGCGGGCAGAGTTTTGACCTTGCCAAGAGCACGGAGCAAGAGTTTAACAAGAGCTGACCCAGGAGTCGTCGAGGTCTTCGAGTAGGAACAAGGATCACCGGTATCCTACATACTACTGCACATTCACCGTTACATCAGTGCCGGAAAATGTACGTGGGTGGCTCTGGCAGACAGGGAAGGGGTCCAGACGAGAACGTAACAGCTGCCGTCGATCATTCTGTATCAAGCCGAGAAGTGAAGACAATTCATACCGATGGGAGGAAAGACCAAGGGCCCAGGGCAACACTTAAACAGAAGACATAAAGTCTAGGAGAATCCAGAATTTCAGTAGGAAGCTCACAGATAGATACAAGGACACGCAAGACGTGCTTTCAATCACTTTACGCTAGAGTGGCAGTTGCAACCCTGTTTTTGACACTCAATCACACCCCGTGCTCGTGCGTTGTGTCCTTCCTGTCGTCCTCAGGTCAAAGCGACGAAAATGACAACGGGCAGCATCGAACGTGGGCGGCCAAGACGGGGAAGGGAGGGGCTTTGCCAGGTAAGGCTTTGCAGAGTCTCATCATGTCTCAATCACAGAAACCAGTCGTGTTTTGTAGGAAAGACGTTGTGACAAAGAGGCACAGTCAAAATTGATTACAAGAGTCGTAAGGTACATAGGCAGGGGAATAGACACGAATAGAAAAAGGACCATTGCCATTTTCTCCGTCTTCCTTGCCTGCTACTTTAGAAACCGTCCCGAAAACGAAACAAACTAAAATCAGGTCATAAGAGGACTTGTGCAAGGATGAAGAAAAAGAAAAGAGACGAGAAGAAAGAAGTCGGCTCGCTCGCCGAGAATGAGAAAATGAAAACCAAAGAAATAAAAGAAACAAAAAAAGGCCAAAGAGCAATCATAATCCGTTTCATAAAAAAAATTGGCGACTTTTTTTACGCCGCCTTGGGCACCGCGGGCGAGCCGGACAGGTCGTCCAAAAGGCCCTTCCACAGATCCCGTATCATACCACCTGATGCCTCGCTGTCAGAACTGCTGCTGCCGCCACTCGCCTCGGCACCGAGGTGGGCAAACTTGAGCTCCACACCGTCGACGCCCATGCCCTCAATCTCCGTCAGCGCCGACGCCGCCACCACATTCTCGGGATGGGCCGCCACCACCACAATCTCGGGCTGCGCCAGCGGGCCATCAGCCACCTCGGGAGCATGGCCATTGAGGGCCGTGCGGTCGGGCGAATAGTTGTCCGGCAGCAGAGGCACGCGCAGCGCCATGCGGCTGGCGGCAGCGGCAGCCTCGCGCTCGGCCTCGGCGCCCAGCGAGGGCATGACGGCGTAGTCAATGGTGCTGACGTCGAGACGGGCGTCGCGCGGGGCCGTGGTGCGGAAGTTGAAGGACTGCATAAGGGGCACAACACGGTTGCGCGAGGGCATAGGGCTGGGTGTCGGGCGGTGGGTCATGGTGAAGTGACGGCTGTTCTGAAGGGTGGGTCGCCGTGTTAGTCCAAAATGAATTCAAACATGCATGTGGTAGCCGAAAGTCGGGTTGCAGGGAAACTTGTCCAGCTCGTGGGGTCACTCCTTCAAGCAATCCAGTTGACGTACATCGTCCCGTTCAGCGGGCTCAGTGCGACCAGCACCGGTGCTGGCATTGGTCTGGTGACTGGACGTGGCGGCAATGTAGGCTGGTCTGGCCACGGACGGATGGGAGCCCAGAGACCGGGTGAGCTTGCTGATTGGTGCGGTCACGCGAGTCATGTTGAATGGGTGGAAGAAATAGGTGAAGGAGGCTGAGAGAAAGAATCGATCCACAGAGAGTACGTTAGAAGAGGGCGTATGAAGATTGTAGATGAAAAGATCGAGACGCTGGATGCTGGCGGTCAATGAAGAAGCAAGGTGTAGGACGCGGCCGGAAGTCCGTTACGTAGGAGATGTAGTGCTCTCGGGAGATGGAAGTGAGTAGACGTAGGAGACCGTAAAACGAGTCGTGCGAAAAGTCGAGATAAGAAAATGGCAGAACGTTTGGGAAATACGACGATGAGGGACGCGCAGGAAAGAGGGGGACGAACAGCACGCTTTATGGGTGTGCTATGAGGAAGGCGCAGGGGAGCGGAATTGGGGGGATGACCATTCTGGGTGGTGATATGATTAGCTCAGATCTGGCTGCTGGCTAGGAAAGAGCTATGGATTCTATTGCGGAGAGCGATGACCTCCGTGCATGTAGTCCTCCAGCCCACCTTCCAGATTACCATTTCCCAACCAATAGCCGGGACCCACTGGTGCTCTTCCACCAGCACAGGGGTTGGGAAGCCACGAACGAGTCCTACGGTGATGTCTTGCCTTTGTTCTGTCACTTGGGCGGCTTCCTCCGTTGGCGACGACTAAGACCACCGTTGCAGTTTTCTTTGACATTTCATGATCGCCAAACTACGACCACTACGACCACATCGAGCGCACAGCTGCAGAGTACTGAGTAGCTTCAGAGCTTAGACAGATGCGTGTCTGTTTTCCACCTACGGCGGCAGTTGCCCCTGTTCCTTTCTTTGTGGACTGCTTTTTTCTTCTTTATTGTGTCGTCCTCTGATTCGAAAATGGCGGTGTAAAGTTGCTACAGTTGCCACAGCTTAATACGTCGTTGCTTGACAGGCGACAATGCTGAGACGCGTACCTGAAAATGTTGCAGAACCAACAGACAGCCAATCGCACACCTCGCAAGTACCTGCCTGCCGTCTCTTCTACCTTTTGCTTCGAGCATACTCGGTACGTTTTCTCTGCCTCCCTTTACAGTCACCATATGTCTCTCTCAACAAACCTCGACCAAAACAGTGGTCGCTGGTCCGCCCTGTCCGGCACACCTTGACTCGGTTGACTCTTGGGATACTTGGATCCATGGGATCTCTTGGATCCAGCCCACAATTTTGGGCAACGATGTGCAGCCCCCTGGAATGAGCCCGCTTCGTGCTGAGAGAGGCCCAAGCTTTCGCGGTGCACAGTTACGGAAACTATTCCTCTTTTGTGTCCGTCCATCTAGAACATCGACGTGCCCGTTGTCACCGCCCCTCCCCCAACAGAAATAGCAAGATTAGCAACCGGGCAGGATCAACTGGTGCTCACCGCAGGGTGGGCATGGGTTCCAATCTGCAAGCTAGCCATTTCCATACCACGAACGCCAGCTCAGCGACACCGGCGACCGGCCCAGCATCCGGGACCTTGTCGGTGTGAGTGGAAAATTAAACATTTCTACGACGTACTCTGTTGTAGACACGGCAGTCCCAACCGCAGCGGTGTTTCGTAAGGTTCCTAAACATAGCGAGTAATTAATCTAGTACTCGGCGGCCGATGTCCGGGCTATCAGCCAAACTGCCAAGCTAGCTTTAAAGTGCTGATAAACAAAGAAACAGCGTGTGCGCCGAACGTCCCTCGATAAGATCAACCAGTGCATGGCGATGCCTGATTGAGTCCTACATGTGCAGTACGAAACGATGCAGCCGCCTCTCTCCATATGGACTGCGAGGGTTACAGCGGTCGCGTATGTTGTACTTTTCAGTATGATGAGCTGGCCCTGTTGCACGGATTTTATTTGGCGAATGGAGTAAGGGATAACTCACCGCCAAGTGCACATCTCGTCACATTTCTTATCGCCTATGTCAGATATTTGCAACTCTCAAAGGTATCACTTGTATCCAGCCCCAACTCCAAGAATGGAGACACAGCAGGTTCAGGAGAAGTGAAGATGGTATTTCATGTATCCCTTCTATCCACTATATGGACATCTATAGAACGACTAAAACACACACCGTATTCTGCATAGTCTATATCCCCAAGTCTAGTGAAAGATGACTTGACACGATTCGCTCGATTCTCGCTGTTGTCGTTGTCCGGAGAAGAGGGAATTCAACAGGAAAGAAATTTGAAAACAGCACCTCTGCTGGCTCGTCTCGTCTGTAATTCAATTTCTTATATTCATCCCCTTCGGTTGGTGCGAGGAGTGTGGGTATAGTGGAAAGTGGCCCGATGAGGGGTGAACAGAAAATGAATGGAAAAAGACAAAAATACAAACGAAGAAACAGTGTGTCCCGTATGCGCCCCAAAAACTCCGTACCAGGAAATACCAAACCCGTTTTGCCACTCGTAAACGAGAAAAGGAGAAGAGAGAAAAAAAAAATAACTTTTTGTAAACCCCCTTGACCCGTTTTGTATCCCATAGATTCAATTGCTCCAAAATATGCCGCAGAGGAAAAGGACGTAAAAATGCAACGCTCGTGTAAGAAAGGGAAGTAATGCTGTACGAGGAAGAAAATGTGTCGCTGAAAGACGGTCGGTTCGTGAGAGACGTGAGAGGAACAGAAAAAGGCAATAAGGAAGCCATGGGTGTGACAAGGCTTATGCTTATTGGGCCATCTTCATCGGCTCGCCTTGGCCGGCACCCACCGTGAACGGGTTGCCGGCGGCGGCCACGGCCGCAGCCGTCGCCGACGACATCAGCCGCTCCCGTTCCTTTTCCTCGGCAAACACGCGCCGGCTCATGGCCAGCACGGCCTCGAAGCCCTCGCGGCCCTTGACGGCGTTGTCGTGGAACCGCGACACCAGGCTGTCCTCAATTGCATTGCGGATTCGCTGCCAGCCGCCGCACAGCGCCGTGATCTTGGCGTCCTGCACAAACTTGGTCTGGTTGGCCGCCGCCTCCGAGGGCCGGTACACGACCGTCTCTTGCACGCTCAGCAGGTTGGACCAGGTCAGGTTCTGGCTGACCATGATGACGGAGCGGGCGTTGGGATCGACATAGGACGTCTCAAAGACCTGGCTCTCGCCGTTGTTGCAGATGGCGCTGCCAAACACCGTCTTCAGCCAGTCGGGCACGCTCTGCTTGCATGTGATGAGGCGCTCGGTGCGGAGGATGCCGGTGGCCGGGTCGACGGTGCGCGAGAGGGTGTCGACGGCAATGACGTGTGTGGACTTTTCGTTCCATGGGCAGTACTTGCGCCAGTTGGCCGTCGAGACTTCCTCCCAGGAGTAGTCGAACGTGCAGGTGTTGGAGAAGACCTTCATGGTGGCGGTTGTGAGAGATGGCGAGAGCTGGTGAGAGAAGAGGAAGAAGGCCGCGGACGCTTGGATGAGAACACGAGCGAGATGATGTTCCGCGAAGACGACGCCTATCTTGAGAGGGAGAGGAGGAGGAGGAGGAGGAGGAAGAAGAAGAGGAGGAGAGGTAGTCGGGGACTTCTGTCGAGAGCGGTCAGTCACAGGAAGTCGGTGGAGCGATATCTGAGTGTCGTTTTTCTTCCTAGTCAAATTGCGCTGAAGCAGTTGTCCGATGAGGTCGACTGGCTACTTTAGAGAAAGCGAGTGTAGATTCGAGAGAGAAACGGTGTCTCTTGTCGACGTATCGTAGGGTATCGAGATGAATGAGTGAAAATACAAATTCAAAATCGAAAGCAAAAAGCTCATGCTGGAAGTTGGCAGTCGGGTGGAAAAGGATGTGCGCGTCTTTTATTGTAACGGGCAGGAACAACCAAGGCTCGATCCCGTACTACAGGGGGGGCGGGCACCACAAAATTTTCGGCATGACTCCCCTCAGTGCCCCTAAAATTTTCAACCTGCCTCTCTATTTCCAATTTTTTAGCAAGACCCGCCCTCCCCGAGTTGCCCTCATCGAAGGTACGCGAAATCTTATCGGAAAGAGCATTGGATGTGGCGAGAAAACCAGGCCTCTTATTGGCTGGCCGTGGCTTAAGTATGGCCAGATATGGACTAGCGCAAAAACACATGAAAAAACTTCGGAATACACGCGGGGGAAGGAGGGACGCAAACGAGGCACTCTGGGGGTTTGGGTGATGTCTTAGCGTGTCTGTATCCAGTCTTACGAATACCTGAACGGAGAGGCCGTTCGCGCCCCTTCACGACGCCGAATTGCCGACTGCTAGAGATTGACGAAAGCAGTACGGTCAAGCCTGTAGTAGTCTCTTCGCACGCCACATTTGGAGACGTTGTTGCATGCCAGTAACGCCGTACAACATACTGTGTAATTACTCGTCAGTTGGAACATGCCCTAAAACCACTAAATTCCAGGCCGCCTCAGGCCGACAGTCAGCGGGGAACACGGCAGTTGGTGGCAGCGACCAGGAATGCACCATCGCCGCGTCTGGATACAATTGTGCCTATCACAAGACATACAGAATCAGGTCGCAATTGCTCTGGAGACTTTTCTGGAACCGTGTAAGATGACATAATTCCAAAATATCACATTGTTTCTTCTCCGTTTGATAGTCAACCTCTTTTTCTTGTATTTTCTTGTTCGTTCTTGCTACGATCCTTTCTTGTCCTGACTAATATATGTGCGTTGGTAAAAGTAATGGCAAAATGATGCTTTGCTGCGTGCCTCCATTTCCAGAAGACAAACAGCAAAGGGCAAACACAAGGGCGGCAGCTGACCTGTGCCTGAGCGCGAGAAGACGGCGGATACCGCCGGGCCCGCGGTATCCGTAATCTCCGTAGCTGCAGGACCACAGCGATTCAAATGCTCGCCCCGGCTGCCAAGTGGAAGATAAACGGCAGGACGTAATTCAACGAAACTAAACAAACGCAAGGCGCCAGGGTCCCACATCACAGAAGCTGGTTTCGCAGCTGTCGGGACATCTCCCTCGTTTAGTAGTCATCGCCGCGGCTGATGACCTCCTTCACATTGTGACGGAGAAGAATGGTCTGGGTTGTTAGAAAGCGGTTGGGCTGGCAAGAGACAGTCACGAAAACGAATCCCCATGAGAACTTACATGCTCGAACTGGGCAGTGTACGAGCCCTTCTTATCAACCAGGGGCGGGTAGGCCTCGACCACGCCGTTGCTGACGAGGTTGTTCAACTGATGGAGTTAGTATTTTGCTGGTCCCGATCGGATCACCAAAGATTCAAAAATGGCCTTGTCCACTCACCCCCAGGAGGTACTTGTCGTGACCCAGGCGGTCAATGTACCGGCGACAGAACGGCAGGGTGCCAAAGTTCTTGTTGATGACGTTGAGCACCGTCTTGGCCGACTGGATGCGCAGCGGCACGTTGGGCGCGTCCGACCGCTTGGCGTAGTGCGACACCTCGCCCTCGTCGCGCACGTAGCCGTTGCCCGTGCTGCCAAATGTTTCAATGGCATACACCTCGCCCTCTTCCATTTTCGTCGTGTCATTCGTCTTGACAATCGGCACGCTCTTGGTGCCGTGGATGCTGTAGTGCTCAATCGTGTGCCCGTTGAGGTTGCGGATCGACTTGATCGGGTACGTGGTGCCGTCGAGCTCAATCTCGTACGACTCCATCGTCTCCTGGATGGCCGCGCCAATCTCGCCCAGGCGCACGTCGATGCCCGCCTCGCGCACGCCCGTGTTGGTCGCCTCGCGCACCGCCTCCAGCAGGTTGTCGTACTTGGGATCAAAGGCCATCGTGAACGCGCTATCCACAATGTAGCCGTTGACGTGCACGCCAATGTCCACCTTCATGACATTGCTCTGCTGCAGGATCGTCTTGTTGCCCGCGTTGGGCGAGTAGTGCGCCGCAATGTGGTCTAGGTTCAGCCCCGTCGGGAAACCCATGCCGGCCACCATCGCGTCGCCCTCCTCCAGGCCCTGGTGGCCCACCAGGGCCCGCACGCTGTCCTCGATGCCGTTGGCAATCTCCGTGAGAGACTGCCCCGGCTTGATGTTCTTCTGCGCCCACTGACGCACCTGCCGGTGCGTCTCGGCCGCGTGACGGTAGTCCTTGAGGTAGTCCGACCGCAGGCTGTCCAGGTGGCGCTTCTCCTCGTCGGTCGTGCGGTAGGCGTTGTCGTTGACGTACGGCACCTCCTCGCCCTTGGGGTAGGCGCCCGAGGGGAAGAGCGTCGACATGAGAACCCGCGGCGGGTCCGACTGCTTGGTCGGCTTGGCCGACTTCTTCTTCTTCTTCTTGTTCTTCTTCTTCTTCTTGGCGGCCGCAGCGGCGCCCTCTCCGCCGGCGCCCTCTCCGCCGGCACCCCCATTCACACCCGTGGCTTCGTCGGCCTCATCCTCGGATCCCTCGCTGTCATCGGCCGCGTCGCCGTTGGTGGATTTACCTATAGCCGCGGTGGCTTTGGTGGAACCACCTTCCGCTGTAGAGATTGTCAGCATACAGTGGACAGGGACGGACAAGGACATGGGACCATCCACGTACCAGCGGGCTCACCGGTGGGTGGGGCTTGAGCAGCCATTGTAATTTTGATATTGGTGTTGGTTTTTTGTTGTTTTCGTGCCGTTTGAAAAAAAAAAAAAAACCAGGTGCTCGCTCGTTCAGTAAAGTAAAATTATGTCAAAACAGCCCACTGGCAGCGTCGGTGTGCTCTCTCTCGATGTGAATATAGTGTTCCCGTCAAGGGTGTGTCTGCAACTTATACGCAGTGCCGGCCTGGGAATGTCGTCTGCTGGTTTTCGTCAATCAAACAAAAAAAAGGTTTTAGGTAGAACGACATGGCCTTGTCAAAAGTAAGGCGTGGGTCTGCCCGAATAGGAAACGGCCCAATCAAAGAGGGCGCGGGGCACGAGACAATGCTGCAAGGCACTATGACATAGCACCTAGAAGTACGGCGCCACAGCACCCAGCCACACTATGTCAATGGCGGCCGACACCGCTGAGATGTCGTAGTCGTAATTACCCGTTACAGATCGCCCAAAGCGGGAAAGAGCGCTAATGCCAGCGGCAAAACGTCAACGCGGGTCATTCCAAAAGCCCGCTGCAAAGCAACCACTTTGATCGCATCTTGATCGCATCTTAACAATTTCTCTTTCGCCTCTCGTGATCGCAGTCAGAGACTCTATTGCCTGTCAACTCTTCTGTGCCCCTCCTGAAACCGCCTTGAAATTGCACAGCTCCAACCCGCCGCTGAGGAATGAACCCTCGTTCGCTGCCATCATGTCTCTCTTCCGCTGCTTTCGTATCGCCAATCCGTATCTATCCTCACAGCCTTGTCGCTTATAGCAGCCGGCCAGAATGCCACTGCTCCTCCAGGACGCTTCGCTCGACGCCTGCGGCGCGCCCGTTCCACAGCAGTCGACACCTTCTCCAAGATGCGACGGCGGGCAGCCAGAACCACTATGAGACGCTGAATGTGCCGTTTAGCGCAAACGCGTCCGACATCAAAAAGTACGTATCCGATCCTGCCAGTACCAGGCGTCCTCATGCCCTGTTGCTCTAACAGACAAGGTCCTTCTACAAGCTCTCCAAAGCCCACCATCCCGACCACAACCCCCAAGACCCCCATGCGCCCCGCCGCTTCATGCGCATCTCCGAAGCCTATGCCGTCCTCAGCCACACCGAAAAGCGCGCCGCCTACGACCGCGACGTGATGCGCCAACACAGCCACCGTCATCTCCGCGGCCAGCACCGGCCCAACGCTTCGTACTATTCGACAGGCCCCGCCGGCGGCCGTCCGGCCTCGGGCCTCAGCCGCCGGCGAAGCGCCTTTCGGGGCCCACCGCCCAGCTTCTACCGCAACACAGGGAGCGGCCAGAACACGGCTCACAATACAGCAGGACACGCTTCACAGTCGTCACGAACGGGCGGCTCGACGGCCAACGCCGGTCAGGACTACGGCCCCACCGGGTTTGGCCCGGGCAACGTCAACGCCGACGATGCCGGCACGCGCAGCAACCCCTCGACGCCGCATTTCAACTGGGACAAGACGGAGCGGACGCACCGCAACATCAGCGAGCGCGTCGCCGAACGGCGGGCAGCGGCAGCCCATTCCGCTGCCTACCATGACGAGACGAGCATGGTGGTGGGCTTCTTAATCATGACAGCGGCGCTGGCCGCCGGGATTCTCGTGCCAGTAATATTGTTCAACGACTGGCGACAAGAGAAGAAGACGTCACCAGCAAAGCCAAAGACATAGAACGACGGATGGGCTGTGCAACAGCTGGACGGCTGGGGCAACATGCCTGTTCTCGCCCTCCCGGAATCCAGACCGTTGTGAGATGTGACGATAGGATTCGTCTCGTCGTCTCTTCCCTATCAATTTATATAAAACAGAAGCCTGTCTTGTCCAGGATATGAGGTATGAACGTATATACAACCGAATCAAACTGCATACGACCAAATGCAATCGCACACAGGCACCAAATTGAAGTAGAGTGTGATTGTAAAGGGACAGACGGGATATCAAAAACAGTCACAGGGTTGCCCCCGGAAGGCTTAAAGAAGTGGCAAATACAGTCATCGCATTGTTGTCAACCCGTAGGAGACCGAAATTTAAGAAACGGATATATAAACCATCCAATGGGGATGTACGAGATGGGAAAAGATTTTATTGAATTGAAAAAAGTGCTTTTTGGGCCCCTTGCCGGGCAAGAAGACGTTTCCTTGCGGGCTTTTCTTTCGTCTTTGGTCGAGCGAGACGCTTAAGCCTCAAAGGTGAAGCTGGTGCCGACCTTGTGGGTGGCCTGGTCGAGCTTCTGGGTGTCGAACGAGGCGCCAATGCCAAAGGTGACGCCCTCGCGGAGCAGGACGTTGTAGGCGACGGCAGCGACACCGCGGTCGTTGATCTTGGCCTTGACGAACGACAGGGGGTCGAGGCGGTACTTGGTGGCGACCTCGAGGCCGACGGCATTGCCGCTCTTGGAGTTCCAGATGGCCTTGGCGGCGGCCTCGACCTGGCTGTTGACCTTGTGGTGGTAGCTGGCGGCGAAGATGCTCAGGTTGTCGCTGGCAGTGACAGCGGCAGAGTAGGTGGGGGCCTGGTAGCCGACGGCGGCGCTGTAGCTGGTCACGGCAGCCTTGTTGACGTCGTAGCCGGCCGAGGCACCAGCCAGGAAGCCGTCGTGGCCGATGACGGCATCGACGTTGGCGGTGGGGCCCTTGAGCAGGTCGAAGAAGGCGCGGCCGTGGAAGCTGCTCTGCTTGAAGTGCAGGTTGAACTTGGCACCGCGGGCCTGGGTGGCGGGCAGGAACGAGAAGACACCCTCGGCCTTGAGGCCCTTGGCCAGCGAGTCGGCAAGCTCGAGCTTGGACTCAAGGGCGTTGGCCGTGTTCCAGGTCTGGGTGACGGTCAGGCCTGTGCGACGGTAAAACATTAGCAAGGTCGAAACTTTTGGGGAGAGCGCAATCGCCGCCTCGACGGGCAGGCCGCTTGTGGACCCGCCAATGCGAGACAGGACGACGCTGAGATTTTGGAGGGACTTGGGGGATTTGGGGGATTTGTGGGATTTGGAGGAGGAGGAGGAGGAGGAGGAAGGGTGGCGGTGAGAAGAAGCAGGAGTGCGAGACGGAGAGGAGATGTCTGGAAAGGAGGAGTGAGAGGAAGAGGCTTCGGAAGAAGGCAACAACGGCAGCGACTTGGCTGTCCGTGTCTGGTCGGCAACATCCTTGCTGCCGGATGTGGAGGGAGGAGGTGATGAAGAAGGGTCCGGCGCTCCACGAGACGCATGTTCGTGGTTGCCACCATCTACAGATGCATTGTGGGATACATGGCGTGGGTGTCGTGACTTGTGGTGGTTGCTTTTGCTGGGTGATGCCGTACCAAGAGATCTGTCGGTGTATTTGCCCTCGATCTGCAAGAGAAGATGATGTGGTTAGCGTCATGCAGCCCAAGACAAGTCAGGAGACTGGACAAGGCCCAATGCGGGCACGCGGTACGAGAGCATCAGAGCATCGGGGGGTGAGGGCCGGAGAGGAAGTCAGGCAAGGCTGTACACGCATTGCCGGGCGAGGGCCACGCTTTGACAACACACCGAACGCTAGCCAGTCAGGCAGTTGCAGTCGTAAGGCCGGTATGTTTGTCCCATGCATCGCTCTCGCTTCTCGTCATCTGACGATGTTCTTCGCGGAAAGGGCCTCTCCCGACGCATACCCCCTGTGGCCTATGCCTATGCCTATGCCTATGCCTACCCCTCCCCCTCTCCCATGCCTCCTCGCCCCACCCCGGCTCATGTCTCCAGTAGCGTTGTGGGACGATGTGTTATTGTTGGGCTGGCGGGCAACGTGGAAACTTACGGTGCCGGTGGTGGTCTTCTCGTGGCTGTTCTTGCCGTTGACCTTGAAGGCGACGTTGTTGGGGGTGTTGCTCTTGACCTCGAGCGTGCCGGCGGACAGGTGGTAGAAGTCCTTGTTCAGCAGCTATAATTCAGAAGAACAGAAACGTCAGCAAGAGTCGCAAAATGCAATGCCACCCGAAGGCAGCATCGTCCGACATGGATTTGACCATCTCTCGACATCCCACCCAAATCCAATCCAAAACGGCGGTGATTGGGCGGTCTGTCGTCGGCAATTGGGCGCTTCGTGTCCCCCGTCTTCCTGTTGAGAGAAAGAGGACAGCAATCGGAGAGCAGGACTCACGTCGTTGGCCGGCTTGGCAATGTCAGAGAAGTTGGGGACCGACATCGTGACTGTAGGTTCAGGGGGATGTGTTTGGGTGAAGAAAGAAAAGAGGGAAAGAAATCAAGAAACTCAAGATTGCGCTTGCTGTGTAGGAAAGAGAGAGAAAGGAAGGAGCAGGAGGGAGGGGGGGCCGTTTGCGACAATAAAGAGAAGGAGCACCCCATACGAAGGAATTAAAATAAATGCAAAGAAAAGTCCGTAAATAAAATTACCTCCAACACTACCGCCTGCCTGCGCCCGAAAAAGGTGGTGAGAGACACTTTGTTGGGGCCCTACCAGCCAACATGCATTTTCAGCAATTACGATACATGCGGGTATGCGTCTGTGTGTGGCTGGCCCGCCCGTGGCGACGTATCGTTACGGATTCTTGTCCTGTTGTCGCAGACGCCCAATGCCTCTTTCCCCTTTCTGTTTGTATTTTCACCGTCGCCGTCACCTTGTCACTTTATCTCCCCCATCGCACCTTCCCGTCTTTGTCGTTCGTGTCTTACTTGTGCCTGCCGTTTTCTCTCTTTTTCTCTTTCTTTTTTTTTTTTTTTTTTTTAAACTTTTAGTGGGCTCTGTCTACAGGGTCCTCGGCTCAAACCGGACGTTGTTGCCAGGGCGCTCGACCGCCTGGTTGGTTGGCTGCAGGCGCCTTGTTCGGGTGGAACAGAAAAGAAACGGTAAAGAAAGGGAAGAAAGGGAACAGGGGACCGCACAATGGACAGGAAAAAGTGTTCGGGTTGGATGCGCTAGAAAACCCACGTGGGGCGCATGAATTGACTCACGGCAGAACGGGAGTTCATCACGTGATACCAACTGAATGCCAATCTGCTTCACATTGAATGAAATTTTGCTGAACGGCATTCACACGGCGCGATGTGCAAAGAGATAATTTGGTATGGTTCTCTGGATAGTTACGCCGTAAGAAAAAAAATGACAGTTTTTTTAATCTGGGCATAATCTATTGCAGCTTTTGTTCTGTCTACTTCTTGCAAGAATGACGACAAAATGATAAAAAAACCAAGAATGTTTCCCTGGTTGTCAACTCCCTGGTCGAAATGGTCCTAGATCCGAATCGCCGAATCGCAAACAACTACTTTTCACACATGCAAACAAACGAGACGAGCGTAACAGGCCGGCTGATGGTGTCTGTTTCGCAGGCCGCTTGGGTGTCTCGGGCATCTTAGGCGGCCTCGTCGTACTTGGCGTTGTGAGTGGAAATGGCGCTGCGATGGTTGTCAGGCAATGGTCAAATCAAACACGGGCTATCAATGGCATCATCGTTGACAAGGGGACTCACCGGCCGCTAGGGTCGGTCTGCTTCGACCACGTCGGCGTCCAGCGCATAACGGTCGAGGCGCAGGACTGGGGGAAGTGCTCGTCGAACATGAGGCGGTACCAGTAGCTGTTTGTGTTAGTCGTGTTTTAAAGAACGTGAGACGAAGAGTGACAAAAAATACAAAAAATACAAAAAATACAAAAAGTACAAAAAAAAACATACGCCTCCTTGGTGTCCGGGATGTCGTCGCCCCACTCGGGCTTGGGGTTCTTCATCATCTCGTCGGTGACCTGCAGCTCGGCGTTGTCCTTGAGGGCGTCGATCCACCCGTAGCCGACGCCGTCCGAGAACTGCTCCTTCTGGCGCCACAGGATGTTGTCCGGCAGGTACGGCGCGGCGCTCGGGTCGTCCGAGGTGTCAAAGGCCTTGCGCAGAATGTACTTTTCGATGCGCTCCTTGGTGATCATCTTCTCGGTGGGGTCAATGTTCATGGTGGTCTCGAGGAACTGCTTGTCCAGGAACGGCACGCGGGCCTCCAGCCCCCAGGCCGATGTCGACTTGTTGGCGCGCAGGCAGTCCGCCAGGTGCAGGTTCTTGACGCGGCGCACCGTCTCGTCGTGGAAGGCCTCGCGGTCGGGCGCGGCGTGGAAGTACAGGTAGCCACCAAAGATCTCGTCGCTGCCCTCGCCGGACAGGACCATCTTGATGCCCATGGCCTTGATCTTGCGCGACAGCAGGTACATGGGCGTCGATGCGCGGATGGTGGTGACGTCGTACGTCTCGAGGTGGTAGATGACGTCCGACAGGGCGTTGAGGCCGTCCTCGATGGTAAAGGTCATGACGTGGTGCTTGGTGCCGAGGAACTTGGCAACCTCGAGCGCGGCCTTGTTGTCGGGCGAGCCGGGCAGACCAATGGAGAAGGAGTTGAGCTGGGGCAGGTAGGTGACGGTGGACAGCTTGTTGTCGTCGTCAATGCCGACCAGGCCCTCACCGCGGTCCATGTTGTCGTGGTTGTCGGCCGACACGGCGCCAAAGGACGCCGGCTCCGTGCTGCCGTTGGCCGCAGCGAGCTCTCGCATGCGGAGCGTCTCGCGCTGGGCAATGGAGGCGACCAGGCTGGAGTCGAGACCGCCCGACAGCAAGACGCCGTAGGGCACCTCGGCCATGAGCCGTTTCCGGACGGAGCGCTCGAGGGTCTCGCGGATCAGGGTCAGGTCCAGGGGCGTGCTGGGCACGCGCTTGGGGTCCCACCAGGTGGGCTCGAAGTAGCGCGTGCGCTCGTTGGTCTGGCTGTCGAAGACGTGGCCGGGGGGGAAGGACTCGATCTTGTCGCAGACCGGGTGCAGGGACTTGAGCTCGGAGCCGAAGTAGGTGGTGCCGGGCTCCTTGGACGACCAGCCCTGGTAGAAAGTCGTGATGCCGATGGGGTCCCGGGCGGCTATTGTGCGGTCCAGCTTCTTGTCGTAGAGGACGAACGAGAACATGCCGTCGAGGAACTTGGGCGCGTCGATGCCATGCTCCATGTACAGCGGGATGATGACCTCGCAGTCGGAGGTGGTCTTGAAGTGGTACGGCGTCTTCAGGTTCTTGCGCAGAAGACGGTGGTTGTAGATCTCGCCGTTGACGGCAAGGACGATGCTCTCGTCGGCGTTGGTCAGGGGCTGGGCGCCGCTCTCTGGTCGGTTGTTAGTATACGCCGTTGCGTTGACGGGTGGGGGTTGGTAGGGTGCGACATACCGACGCCGACGATGCTGAGCCGCTCATGGCACAGAACTGGATACGTTAGCAACGAGCCAAAATGTAAAGTCAAAGCGAGAAACAGGGACATACTGGTCTGGTTGCTGATAACACTGCCGCCTGCAGTTCCATTTCCGTCAGTACAGTGCCTTCTTCCATCTCTTGCCCACCATAATAGGGGGGAAACAGCGCCGGCGCGCCAGTGTCGGGCGGCATAGACATACTCCAATCTGGGCCACGGTGGCGGATACTGCAAAGAAACATAGAGTCGTCAGCACATGGACGGCCATTGTGGACAGCATTGGAGCATCAGGGAGAGGTGGAGGGACTTACGCCTTGGACAGCCGGAGGGCCGTCGGCTTGAATTTCTGGACGTCGGGGTGACTATCGCGGGTCAGACATGCGACCAGGAAGCTCAATTGGAAGACACTGTGTCATTGGGAGGCTTGCGAGCGCTGTTGAGGCTTTGCTGAGCACGTCGTGTGCCGTGGTGGCTGCCAAAACGACCCCGCGCAAAGTGTGACTCAAGCGCGCCAATGCCCGCAAAGCGCCAAAGAATGAAGCCAAAACCGCATGCAGCGGCGATGCGTGACCTACCGGTGACAAGCGAAAATGCCACACATTTTGGTGGATTGTTTTTGCCTGGTATCTCGAGAGGTTCTCTGTTTTCTTTGACGCTGGAGCGCTGGAGTTGGATTCTGTCTGCGCAGGTGGACGTTTTGTGTCAGCACACGGAAGGGTGCTCGTGTCTATATAGGAAAGCGAAGGAGAGCCGCGACGGTGGCTTCAGAAGAAGAGAAGACGGAAAACAGCCGACAAAGACCTTACCTGAGAGATAAACGGTGCGTGGGATAAACTGTCGGCCACCCACGTCGGAAAACGAGTCGAGGGTCAGGGGGGCAAGGTCGCGTGTGCAGCGGCGGGTTCTGGTGATGTGTCGAGAGCAGGAGAAAAGGGACGCAAGCGGCCAGCAGAGACGAGGTCGTCGGCTTTGGAGAGGCAAAGAGGTGTGTGTCATAAAATGCTGGACGAGCGAAAATTGCCTGCAACGCTGTTTTCTAGGGCCTTTTTTTATAGTACTATTATTTTTCGTCTCTTTTTCTTCGTTCCTGCTACGGACGGACGGGCTACTACGCGCTTGGTATGCTCTTGCCTCCAGCCGCCGATAACAGCGACTATTGCAACTAGTGTAGCCTGCTCTGCACATGCTCTTTCCCACCGGCTATCGTCGTGGTTCCTTCCTCTTGCTATTATATTTCACGTTTTTTTTTTTTTTTTTTTTTTTTAATATCTGCACGTTAGACAGCGTCGAGCGCCGCTGTCGCCCCTCCTTTTTTGCGCTCGGTCGCCCCCGCTATTCTGGTCTTTGGTCCCCTGCGTTTTCTGCCGTGTCGTTCCTTCCATAAAGTTGGGACGACAGTCACAACAATGCTTTGTACGAAGTATTCCCTCCCGGTCGCTCTTGCCTTCCACTTCTGATAGATAGCCCTGGTGACTCTTTGGGTGGGTATCACTTGTGACGTACAATTGGAGAAATCGGAGCACAAAAACAAAGAGATCTGCTGGGAAACGGACGAAACTAGTCGTGGATTTCAATCTGTGGCCTCCTATTTGCTGCCGGTATCGGCTGAGCCGCTAATTGGCCCGCTCCGTCCTCCCTCTTTCCTATTACTCACATTTTACAGTATCAAAGTTGACGACAAAACTAGAAGGCACGGGCGGGTTCAGAACGCCAAACAACGCTTGTTAGATGGCAGTTTGTGGAAAGAAGGGTTGGGCAATACTTCGCGCGACAAGATGCCCCTGCGAACGATACGGGAAGGCGCACATGCCGCTGGAAAGACCCCGTTGCTGCGACAGTGAATATGAGGCACTCACCATCCTGCTGCACTTACATGCCACTTACACCACCAGATAAGGCTCTGCAGGGCCATTGGATTATGCACACCACTGGCGCAACGTACGTAAACACAGCACAGATCGGCCAATCGCCCGCAAAGATTGCAAATTGAGTCATGCAAACCCCCAGTCCGCTCCATCCTACCTTGTCCGTGGGATGGATCACAAGACGCGGCCAGCTTTTCACGAGTGTTGGCTGCTCGTGGGATCAAAACAAGTTGCAAACGCTCACCTGTGGTCTTTGTGAGTGCATTTACCAGTCCATTCGACATCGTCAACATGAGATATACGATATAAATATCTCGTGGGGGAAAGAACTCATCGTGTCTATGTCGTAAATTCCCTATCATGGCAGACTCGCTGCTTGTACAGCCTGTGACTACATTTCAAGTGTAAGAAGAACGCCGCAGTTCATCTTCTTACGTATACGTCCAACTCACGGATGTCGAAAGACGCTGATCTACTCAGATCTGTATTGGTATCTATCTCCTCCTTGTTGTTCCATGGCCGCGTGTCAGGCCGTGCTCATATCATCCATCCTGCCCACCATGGTCCCGAAATAACTCCCACATCGCCATGTGTCCTGGTGTTGTGCGGCTAAATATACAAATGCAGTGCCACTCAACGAAAGATGGCAAAAATTATAAAAACACCAGGCAAAAAAAAAAAAAAAAAAAAAAAAAAAAAAAAAAGAAAAAGAACAAAAGCAGAAGCAAGCAGAGAACAAATCAAAAACAACAAACCACGGTACATAAACCCCTTGCAAATGCTCCGTCGTTTTCAGACTCCTCGCAGGTAAAGAAACGTGTCAACGGAGGCGCTGGCCTCGCCCCCAAGAACCAACCGCCCATCCTCAGGGAGCCGGGTTCTCCTGGACAGTCCGGCGGACTCGCCTCTCGTAGTCGGCCTTGTCCTTCTTGAAGAGGTTGTAGGCCTCCGCCTGGGCGGGCGAGTCCGGGTTGGGGTCGTCGAGCAGGTCCTGGATGCCGAGCGCAATCTGCTTGATCGTGATGGCCGGCTTCCAGGCCTCGTCTTCGTTGAGGATCGACAGGCAGATGGTGCCCGACGGGTAGACATTGGGATGGAACAGCGGCGGCACGAACTTGCACTTTGGTGGCTTCGTGGGGTATTCTACACAGGTTAGCAAGGCCATCGGTCCCAACGAACAGTACGCAAGCAAGCAGCCCGCATCCGAAACGTACCATCTGGGAATGTCATTGTGAGCTTAAACATGCCGCCCTCCCAGATCGTCTTCTCCTTGCCCGGGATGCCGCACTCCCAGACCTTGAGGTCAAGGACGCCCTGTGCGTTGCGTACTGGCTTGGCATAGAAGCCGAACGGGTGGTCCTTGCGCCACAATTTCCTGTAGCAAACAAAGCATCAGCATGAGTGTGCTCCAAGTTGCAGTAGACTCTTCCACGCGAAGGGCGAGAGTTTGAAGGTCAACATACCTCTCCTCCTGGAGCCGGTTCTGGCAGAGAGACATGGCTTCGGATGGGGTTCTGTGAGAGGGTTGTTGCGGGAGTGGTTACGGTAGATTGAGGGAAATGGGCCGCAGAGATTGTTGAGATGCTGTAATAACGATAGGCGAAATATGATAAGAAGGAGTACGTCAACGCAGTCGTGTTGTCGGTGACACGGAGCTCGTTGGTCTTGCCGCTTGGCCTACTGGGAGTTGAGGGACGCTTGAGCAAGGCTGACGAAAGTTTTGCCGCAAATAAGGCAACTATAACGGACAAGAGAAGAGTTAGCTGGTTTCTCGCCAATGCACAGAGACAAGGAAACTGGCGGTGGAGGTCGGCGCGTGACAACGTGCAGGGCGAAAGGGCAAAAGAAGAAAACAAAGGGAGAGAGAGGACAAGAGCGAGACAGCAGCATGATGTGACAAAAAGCTCGTAAAGGGGAGGAGAAGCGTGACATACTGGAATATCACGGCGTAGGGCTCTGGCTGGCGCTGTGCGGTGCAGGTCGACAAAATAAGAGTGCCGCTCAGAAAACGGAAAAGGATTTTTGAGGGGTGACAATTTGCACGTCTTCCATTTCGCGATTTGCGATTCACGCCGGTGGTCGTTCCTTCCAGGGCCTTGCGGCAAACAGGCGCGCTAGGCGGGGCGAGCCCGGAAGAGAGACGCATGAGACTAAAAATGACTAATACTGCTTATGTCATATTGCCAAAGGCCAAGGCACTGAAAGCCGCATAGTCCACAGCGCCCACAGCGTAACCCACAGCGGGGTAAGAGCAAGAACAGTACTCCGTAGAGAGTAGCACTGGGGAAAGAGCCAGGGCGTGCCAGAGTGGAGAGACGACGGCGCTCTTTCCCAAATACAGAAGACAGGAGACCTTGGCTTGTGAAAGGGCCGAGGAACAAAAATACAGGAGCAAAACTGAAATTAAAATAAACAAGAACCCAACGACAAGCACGCCTCGGTTGGATACAAGCATTGTTACGTTCGTCATAGTCCGGACGTTTCAAAAACGCCTTCATTCGACGTGCTGGTTCTCTTGTTGGGCTCGGCATACACCCACCGAAGCGCATTTCGCAGAGAGGAAGAGCTTTGCCGGTCATTCACGGCCGTCTTGCTGCAACCGGCCAGCCGAATCGGCATCCTTTGGGCCGTCCACCGATTCGACATCGACATTAGTGGAGCAGGACAACCGCCATGGAGGAGACAAGGAAAGAGGAGGTTGCCCCTGTGCCGCCTGCCACAACGACAGAAGATGTGAAGCCGCAGACCCAGCCGGAGGTTGCGAAGGCAGAGAAGGTCAAGGCTGAGGAGCCCGAGACGGAGAAACCCAAGGCAGGAGAGGCAACAGCAGAAAAGACAAAAGAGTCGGTTGCAACACCGGCTGCTACTGCAGCTGCTGCTGCTCCCGCCGCTGCGCCAGCACGACCCGAGGCTGACGCCGAGATGGAGGATGTGCCCGACCCGGACGAGGACGACCTGGACGACCTGGATGGTACGTGAGACGCTGGAAGGCGCTTGGCATCTCTTCATAGATGGGCAAAATGCTAACGACATAGACCTGCTCGACGACTTCTCTGCAGCCAAGATCGAGACCAAGACGCCGGCTGCACCAGCGGCTGCCGCCCCATCCATTCCTGCACCGACACTGCCACCCGGCCTCGAAGGCGACGAGAACCTGGAGGAACTCCTGAACGACGATGATTTTGCAAAGCAGTTGCAAGCAGGCATGGCCGACTTGATTGGCGAGATTGAGAAATCGGTAGGTGGCCAACGGATACGAGTCGTTGTTCGGTCCTGAGGGACAGCAGAGCGACGACAGAACACATCTAACAATGCTCTAGCCCGACGTCCAGGCACAGTTTGAGAGCTTATTTAAGGAGTTTGGCATCCCACAGCCGACCGACGGCTCAGGCGGAAGCATTGATCTGGCCGCTGCAGCCGCCGCCGCCACCGGCGCTGCTGCTGCCGAGCACGTTGCCTCCCAACCGAAAGCGAGCGGCCCAGCGTCCACGTCAGCGACATCCAAACCGTCCGCCGGTCCCTCCTCGTCGTCCGCGTCCGCGTCCGCGTCCGCGTCTGCGTCTGCGTCTGCGTCTGCGTCTGCCTCCACGCCCGCGGCCGACGCCTCGTTCCAAGAAACCATCCGTCGCACGATGGAGCGCATGCAGGCCTCGGGCGACCAGGCGACTGCTGCGGCGGCGGCCGACTCGCAAAGCACCGACGACATGCTGTCTGAATTTATGAAGCAGATGCAGTCGGGCGGGCTCGGCGGGCCGGGCGGGGAAGAGGACCTGACCAAGATGCTGATGGGCATGATGGAGGAGCTGACGAACAAGGAGATTCTGTACGAGCCGATGAAGGAGCTCAACGACAAGTTCCCGGCGTGGATGGAGGCGAACCGCAGCACGACGAGCGCCGAGGACCTGAAGCGGTACGAGGAGCAGCAGGTGGTTGTGCGGGAGATTGTCGAGCGGTTCGAGCAGCCGTCCTACACGGACACGAACCCTGAGGACCGCGAGTACATTGTGGACCGCATGCAGAAGGTGAGGACGCCGCGCCCGGTGACGAATTTACTTTGGACAGCAACTAACCATTGTGGCCACAGATGCAAGCGGCAGGCTCTCCGCCACCCGATCTGGTAGGTGACATGCCGAGCGCGCAGGAGGCACTCTCCGTTCCGGACGATTCGTGCAACCAGCAATAAAAGCGCGAGAGAACGAGGTGAGGAGAGTTCGAACACAAGCACATTGATATTCTCGTATATGATTGTATTATTTTACCACACGCTGGACAATAGACACCTGCAGGTGACTTTGGGAAAGAAAGTAAAAAACGATTCACATATACCCAACCATGTCTCAAAACCCGCAGACAGACAAGCCAGTGAAAAGGTAAACTACAATAGTACAAAAAACAGAAGATGTATATCAAAAGCCAACCGTACGCCGAGCAAAACTCCGTACAACCGAAACCCCCAACTTGAAGTGATAAGCGTGTCCCAACGGTGGTTCCTTTCCTATAATGCCATGTCCATGCCGTCTTCAGCCTCTCCTGACAGCAGCTCGTTGAATATGGCGTCATAGTCGTCGTCGTCCGAGTAGGCAATCGACGCCGGCCGTTCTGGCGGTGTCCTTTGGCGTTGGCGAGGATCGGCCTCCATCGACGCAATCAGCGCCTCCATTTCGGCCTCTTCCTCCATTGCTAGCCGGTCCGCCATGTGCGCGTCCATGGCATCCGTGTCGTCCTCTTGCTCCTCGTCCTCGGCAGCGCGGTCGTAGTACATGCCGCCGCTGTCGTGCCGCCGCGCATGGTTCGAGGCCACCGTGGTAAAGCTGTCGCCATTGTCGCCATCTCCATGGTCAAAGAATGACGAAGACGGCATCGACGACGATGCCGACGAAGACGGCATCGACGACGATGCCGACGACGGCGACGGCTCGGCCATCCAGTTGGCCGCGTCTTCAATGTCTTGCTCCGTCAGCATGCTCATGACGTCCGTCTCGCGCGCCTGCCGGATTTCGCGCTCCAGCGACCACCACTCGAGCTTCTGCAGCTCCTGCTCAAAGTTGCGGCGGTCCCAGTTGCGGTCGTCGGCGCGCTGGCGGACATTCTTGAGAAAGAGGCTGCGGCGGGTCTGCTGGGCGGCGTCGCGGGTCTGCTGTCCACGCGGCACGGGCTTGGTTGGCCGCGAGGCGAAGCGGAACAATGGTGCTTTGTCTGTGGTGCTTGTACTTGTGCTTGTACTTGTACTTGTACTCAAAGCGTCTCCGCCAAAGTTGAATAAGGATGGTTGAGGTGGTGCTTGAGACGACAGTGAGGAAGACGGCTGAATGGGAGAGGACTGGGTGTCGAGCTGCGACGATAGCATGGGAGGAGGCGATGCGCGGATCGGCGAGGATGACAACGGCGACGGCCGCGATGGCCGGAAGGGCGATGACGCAAAGGCGGGCATCATCGGCAGGTGCTCAGGCGACGCGCTGCCCACGCCGAACGCAGGCGGCGTCATGACGGCAAACATGTTGGCGGCGGGCGGCTGGGATGTTGGCTGAGGAGACTTGTGGTGATGGTCCTCGGTGCCGATGTTGTTTTGGCTCGTCCTTTTTCCGTCCAGATTGACGGGTAGGGAGAAGATGAACAATACACGAAATGGTTACTGAATCGTGATGGCAAATTAGATGATGTACGTAACTGTGAGATTGGTAAGATGCGGTGGCGGTCGATGTATGGAATGCAAAGAATGCAGAGTGTGAAATGACGATTGTGTTCAGGGAGCGTGTAAAGTGGCCGTTGGGGATAGTGGCGATGGTGAGGCGAAGGAGAAGGCGCGGCGCGTTGTGTCTCACTGATTAATGGGATTGACACGGCAAGTGCGGCCAGAAACGCGGTTGCCCAGGACGCGTCAAGAGCGCTATCACGTGCAGTTATGGCCCCGGCAGAAGTGGCGAGAAACCCCGCTGTGCCCCGATCCTGCCCGGTGGCTACAAAAGCTGGAAGGAAACAAAAAAAAAAAAAAAAAAAAAAAAACTTAACAGCAGCAAGGCACGCTAGCAAGTTCAGTACAGGTGGCAGCTCCCACCAGTCAGTGGCCTGACGGCGCAGACAGGACCCCCAAATGCCCCAAATGCCCCAAAGTGCCCCAAAGTGCCCTGAAGCAGCTCAACAAATGGATCGCAATATCCACATGAAAAAAAAACAAGCCGACAACGACGTCAGTTGTTCATATGCCGCTTACCTCGTCTTCCACCCTCAACCTCACAATTCGATGGACACGATGAGGGCACGTTGCTAGATAATTCCCTCCCTCCATACCTTTCTTCTTCTCTCTTCTCCTTGCCAATCTCTCGGCTTCTCTTTCTTCTCGCCGCCTCCGCTCCGTTTCGTTTTCTTTTCCTTCGGCTCTCGATGCGAACTCTATTTCTGCGGCCGTCGGCCGTGTCGTCCATTGTGGGCTCTCTCGGCCGACAGCGTGCCAGCACGCAGCCGTCGTCGCAAGGCTGGGCCTGTGTCAAGTGCCGGCGGGGCCAACTGAACGGCCAGCGCACCACGGCCGGCGTCCGCTTCTCGTCAACGGCATCGACCGCAGCGAACCCAGCAAGCAGCGCCAGAGCAGGCGGCCGCACCGTTCCTCCACCACCGCCACGCTCGTCGCGCGGCCGGCGGGCCATCCTGCTCACGGCAAGCGGCGGTGCAGCCACGGCAACGATCCTGGCCTTCACCGACGACATCAAGCAGAGCTACGAGACGGTCGAGCGGACAGGCCGCGTGGCCGCGACGCTGGTGCTCTGCATCAACGAGTAAGCGAGCCCCCGGGATATGCAATGCACCAACAGCAAGGGGCCCGCGTGCTAACACAGACCAGTTACCGAAAGACTCTCCGCCAAAAAGACAAGATCGAGGACGAGGCCGAGCAGTCGGCTCTCATCAAAGCCTGCCACAAGCGCTGCGCCCTACGGACGCTGCATGTGCTCGAGAAGAACGGCGGCATCTTCATCAAGCTGGGCCAGCACCTTGTGAGTCGTGGACGTGTTGACGTGTTCTTGCCGTGCACAATCCGGGCGCTTGCTGACGGAAACAGAGCGCCATGAACTACCTTTTGCCCTCCGAATGGACGACGACCTTCATCCCCCTCCAGGACAAGTGCCCTGTCTCGTCCTTTGAATCGGTCCAGCAAATGTACCGCGACGACACCGGCACCGACCTGTGGGACTACTTCTCCGAGTTCTCCGCGGAGCCGATCGGTGCCGCGTCCCTCGCCCAGGTCCATGTGGCCACGATCCGCGAGACGGGCCAGAAGGTCGCCGTCAAGGTGCAGCATCCCAGCCTGGCGCAGTGGGCGCCGCTCGACATGGCCCTGACGACGTTTACGTTTTCGACGCTCAAGCGCTTCTTCCCCGAGTACGACCTGGACTGGCTGTCGTCGGAAATGGCCCTGTCGCTGCCGCAGGAGCTCGACTTCGCCCTCGAGGGCAAGAACGCCGAGCGCACCAAGGCGCACTTTGCCGCCATCCCCCAGCTGCCGCTGGTCGTGCCGGACGTCCTCTGGGGCCAGGAGCGCATCCTCGTCATGGCGCACGAGGTCGGCCACCGCCTCGACGACCTGGACTACCTCGACCAGAACGGCATCGACCGCGACGAGGTGTCCGCGGCGCTCGCGCACATCTTCAACGAGATGATCTTTGGCGACGGCGCGCCGCTGCACTGCGACCCGCACGGCGGCAACCTGGCCGTGCGCGCGCGTCCGCCCGCCGGCAATGTCGTCGCGCGCTGGCTGCGCCGCCTGCCGTGGCGCAACCACGACAACTTTGACATTATCTTGTACGACCACGGCCTGTACCGGGACATCCCGCTCGCGCTGCGGCGCTCGTATGCCAAGATGTGGCTCACCGTGCTCGACGGCGACATGGCGCGCATGCAGCGCTACGCCTACGAGGTAGCCGGCGTCGACGAGGCGTCGTTTCCGCTGTTTGCGTCGGCCATTACCGGCCGCGACTACCGCGTGCTCGCCTCCGGCTCCATCATCCAGCCGCGCACGACGGACGAAAAGGAGCACATTAGCGGCCAGCTGCAGGACGGCCTGCTGGCCGAGCTCGTGCAGCTGCTCGGCAAGGTGCCGCGCATCATTCTGCTGATTCTCAAAACAAACGACCTGACGCGCAGCCTCGACGACGCCCTGCAGACGAAGCAGGGCCCCATCCGCTCGTTCCTCATCATGGCGCAGTACTGCCTGCGCACCGTGTTTTACGAGCAGGTCGGCACCATCCGCGAGCAGCACGGCTCGCTCTGGTGGCCGACGAACCTGGCGCGCCTGCTGGGCGCGTGTCTGCAGTATCTCAAGGGCGAGGCCAAGCTCGAGGGCATTGACCTGTGGCTGCGGGCGCGGCGGCTGGCCGGCATGAAGAACCTGACTGTCGGCCCGCCGTCGGTGACGTGATGGCGTTGACGAACGTAGTCTTGTACGATTTCATGATGATAATTTTTCACACCGCGCTGAACATATACAAACGATAGATTTTATGGACATGGAGACTATTTGTGTCGGGTGATTTTTAACCTGCGGCGTACATAAAAAAGCGACTCTAATACAGCCCACAATCAAATACTAGGCAGAAACGATGGAAATGTGTAGCAAAGACCCTAGCTTTTAGCAAACAAAACGTCAAACATGGAATAACCAAGAACCCTAAACTCCTTTGGTGCTGCGGACCCCCAAAATACACTGGCATACACAAGATACACACCCACCACCCACCATGCCCCGTCTACTCCGCCGCCTTCTTGCCCAGAACACCGTCCGCGGCCGAGCCGCTGCGCCGCCGCCGCCGCTGCAGCACATCGTGCACCCAGTCGGACAGCGTGAAGCCCCAGTGGCCGGCCACCAGGGCGCCGCTGAGGACATTGACAATCTTGAGGGCAAACAGCAAGAAGCCGTCGCGCGACTCGACAATGTTGAGCAGGATGGGCTCAATGTCGTACTTGAAGAAGATGCCGGGGATGTTGCGGTCGTCAATCTCGGCGCTCTGCTCGGTGACGGCGTACTGGTTCGTGAAGATGGCGCGGGCGCCGCGGCGGCCGGGGCGCCCGACGCTGTAGACGGTGGGGACGACGGACATGAAGTACTGGAAGCGGTGGAGGTGCGCGGTGGCGCCGTTGACCGTCTGGTCGAGGGGGTTGACGAGGGACGGGTAAAAGGGCCCAAACGAGAGCTCGTTGATAATGTGCGAGAAGTTGAAGGCGTTGTGGTCGAGGTGGTTGAGGTGGTCGCCGACGCCCATGTAGCCGTGGCCGCGCGCCGTGATGTGGAAGTCCCCCTGCACCTTGTTGAGGTCGAGGCTGCCGTAGACGCGGCAGCTGTCGCCCTGCCCGTGGGCGCTCGACGGCAGCTTGGGCGTCTTGCCCCAGCGCGCGCGCCGCCGGCCCAGCGCCACAATGTCGTGCACGTGCTCCTCGCCGAAGCCCTCCTCGTGCGGCAGCGTCGTCCACCCCTCGCCCGTGACGAGGCGGCCCTGCGCGTCGCGGCCCAGCCGGTGGATGCCGCGCGCGTCCACCCACTGCTGCCACGTGGTGGCGTCGCGCTGCAGCAGCGACGCCGCCAGGATGCGGTCGCCGGCGGCGTCCTGGACGTTGATGTGGAGGTCGTCGCAGTGCATCTTGACGAGGATGTCCAGGTTGATCTGCATCGTGCGGCCGACGCCCTTTTCGACGGCAAACGTGTGCTCCTCGGCGCCCGTCCACCACCGCGCCAGCTCCGACCAGAAGAGGATCACGGACACCACGACCATGGCCACCGTCCACTTGCCGCCGCCCGATGTCCGCTGCACATACTGCGGTTTGGATTTGGCTGTTCGGTCAGCGCGGCCACGCACGACACTGGCTCGCCGTTTTGACAGCGAATGGTGAATACATACGGAATGCGTCAAAGGCGCTGACAATGCTGCTGCCCGCCTTGGGCCCAAACGCATCGTCGTCGACGCGCGCGTGCGGCTTCTGGTCCTGGGCCTGGGCCTGGTTCTGTTCGTAGCCCCCGTTGCTGTATCCGCCATTGTTGTGGCCTCCGTTATAGCCCTGCTTCTCGCCGTAGCCGCCGTTGTTGTATCCCTCGTAGCCGTTCATCGTGGCGGCGTCGGGGTTGTTGATCAAACTCGCCGTTCGCGGAGAGCCTTGCCCTTTCGAATTCTCTGCTTGTCGATTGGGGAAATCAGCTTCGTCCTTTGCCTGTTACCACATATCTCGGGCCGGTCTGGTCGTTGCTGGTGGACAACCGAAACGTGGCAGGTCGTGTCGAAGAGAGCAGCAGAAGCGGTTCTTTGCAAACGTCAATTCGGTGCCCTTGCTCGATCGGTCGTCGGTCGTCGATGAAGCTGGGATTCTCTGGGATGATGCCCGGCCGTCGTCGGTTGCTTTCTTTGCCGGGTTGAAAGGACAGCTCAGCGGAAAAAGGATGCATCCAATATGTGGCCCTATGGAGGTGCACTAACAAATTGGTCCCTGCCAAATTGGTGCCAAATGCGCCTTCCACTGAGCACAATGGCTCTTGCCCGTTTTGGGCGGCACGGCTGGCGTGCTCTTTCCCCCTGACTTGGCCAATGGGACACTGCCCTGGCGAGGCCGTTGTGCACTAGCGCATTGAAGACCCCTGACAGCATGCGGCTAATTTTGGGGGTCTTCTGGGTGAGACAGGACAGCGCTGCTCTCATTAATACGGGGGCAGTTTGGGCACTCTGTATGCAGAGCGGAGGGGAAAGCCACATGGTGTTGTTTTCGGGGCGTTTGCATTCTCTTCATACACAATTGACCACTGCCTTATATGTACAAGTTACAGAGTATTTCGCAATTCCACTCTAGAAGGGACAACGTGAAAATAGTGGACATGGTTTGCCGTTCATTCTGCTACCCGGGATAGTTGGAAGCGTCTTCTGCCGGTCTGGATGTTGTTTCTCCGCACATGGCGGTCCCGTTTTATTTGCTGCTTACCCTCAGAGGCTCATAATCCGTTTGTGTGCATCCATTATAAACATGCCCGGCTACTTGCTCTAGTATCGCTCGATAATGAATTCGCGCCGTATCGAGTCCATGGGTGGCCTGGAGTAATAGAGCGCGGTCTCGGCCGTCTTGACCGTCACATAGTGCTCGACCACGTCGCGGCCGATTAGGTGGACAAACGCCTCGTCCTTTTGCAGGGCCTGCAGCGCACTGCTCACGTCCGCCGGCAGCATACTCGTGATGCCCAGGTCGGTTCGCTCTGTCGGCGTCAGCGTGGCGGGGTCGACAGTGCAGTCGGCCCACGTGAGCTCCTGGTTGTAGACGACGCCCGACAGGCCGGCCAAGAGCACGGCCGTCAGAGCCAGGTACGGGTTGGCCAGGCCGTCGACACACTTGAGCTCCCAGTGGCTGTCCTCGATCTTGCGCAGCGGCGTCTCGCGGTTCTGCGTGCCCCACGTCACCCACCGCCCGCCGGCCCACGCGCTGTCGACGACGCGCTCGTAGCTCGAGGGGCTGCTGTACGTAAACGCCGCAATGGCCTGCAGGTGCTCGAGGATGCCGGCATAAAACTTCCCGTACAGGTTCTCGTCGTTGCCCCTACCGTCGGGCGTCACTAGGGACAGGTGCATGTGCGACGCGGTGCCACAGGCGTTGGCATACGGCTTGGGGTGCAGAGTGAACTTGTAGCCCGCCTCGGTGGCGCGGTGCGCAATCGTCTCCCGCGCGAGGAGGAGGCTGTCGACGGCCTCGAGCGGCGGCTTGGCTGGCAAGATGAGCTCGAATTGGCCTGGTGCGCTCTCTGCATGGATCTGCTCGACCTCGACGCCGGCTGCGTCCAGATCCTGGACAATGTCACGGATGAGCCGCGCGACGGCCGGGTTGTTGTAGAAGCGACTGGCAGACCAGGCGTGCCCGTCGTTGGAGAGCATGGCGAAGCGTTGGCCGGGCGTGTGCGATTCTGTTCTCTGCAACAAAACAAACTCGATCTCAAACCCGACCAGGTGCGAGATGCCTTCGGCGGCCGAGAGCTCGATTGCACGGATCAACTGCGACCGGGGACACAGTGGCACCCGCGACCCGTCCTTTTCGCGGAACACGCCGTTTACATTGATGTGGCCATCCATCGGGCCCACCGTCAATGACGAAAAGTCGGGATGGAGCCGATATTCGCCTGTTGGCGTCACCCCCGGCGCGGCCGTATCGTTCTGGAGAAGTCCGAGACATGCCTTGGTGATGCCAATGTCGAGCGAACTGTTTGACCGGACCAGTCGATCGAACCGCCGGAAGGGGATCATGCGCATGCGTGGCAGTGATGTGTAGTCGAGCCAGGAGACTCGCACAAAGTCCGGAGCGGGCTTTCCACGTGTGAAGGCGTCCCAGATCGTCAAGTCGGATGGTGCCGGTGCCTTTCCCACCTCGCCTTTCGCCTGGCGAATCGCTTCGTCTGCTTCGGGCACTGTGCCCGGAACCTCAAGTCCCAGCTGGTAGACTTTGTTCGCGTTCCGGAAGAGGATGTCTTGCACCAGTTGGACAGCCGCTTGCCATCCGATTTGTCCACTCCGAACAAAATCGCAGACCACCTGGTCCCCGTGTCAGTTTACACCTTTGTCTTCTTCTTCCCATGTCTCACATATCCTTAGTCCGAAAACCTTGGGGGATGAGGGACTGTCTTACCGTTTCAAGAACGTCCCGGGCTTGGAGAATGGCAAGAAGGTATGTTTCCGGGAACCAGTGTCCATCCGTGCTCAACATCACCTTAGACCACGGGCAGAGTTCAAGTATCTCCCGCAGCATAGATTCCTGCCCGTGGCGGGCAACGATGGGGAACACCTCGCCAATGTCTGCATAGACGTTGCTGTACACTGTGGCAAGGTATCCCGTGTCGCGAACGTAAGGGTATCCCGAATGCAACAGTACAATCGGCACGGTCGAATACGTGCGAATGAAATCTTGGAGATGCGCCGGCGACGATTTTGTCAAGGTGATGTCGTTGTCACCGAGCCCCGTGTGGAATTGAATCGGCTTGTTGAATCGGCCGGGAGAGGAGCGGCTATGAATCGCGGTACGATGGACAAACAGATCGTTCAGGCCAGCATGCTGCAGCCGGCGGAAGCGTTTGCCGGACGTCGAATGAGTGGTGACGATCTCGGAAAACGACTCTCGCGCGCCGGCAATGTCTACAACGCGAGGTATGGCAAGGCCAGTGCGGTAGCAGATGACGGACTTGAAGCCAACGACGTCTGGATCCGAGATGGCCTGTTTGATCTGGGTGTCAAACTCTTCGAGCATGTTGTCAAAAACATTGTCGAGAGGCTGCGCGTTGTCAAAGGCCACACAGTGACGGTCGATGATGTCAGCCGCCACTGCTTCAATACGGACGATTCGGCGGCATTTGGTGGGGGTGAACTTGTTGTGCCAGGTGTGGTCGTACGCGTCGTCCTCGCTGTCCAGTCCGTCGTCGAGCAAGATCGTTTCAAGGCCCTCGAGACACTGGGCAACCCAGGCATTGTAATCGCCGCCGCGGCGCTCTTCGATTGCTGCCACCACGGAGTCCCACGTCGCATGACACCCAAGGACACCCGATAGCTGCTGCACAGCACGGTGGTGAGACAATGCCGTGACAGAAGCACGGATGGCGTCTCCATGAGCCTCGCTGACGATGGAGAGAAGAGGATGCCGGCCGACAGCCTCGGGTTTCAGAAGCGGGTGTGCGTGGTTGTCGATAATGGGCATCGTCTTGATGACTTGGACGACTCGCCGGATCTGGTCTTCGGTCGCCACCGCGGGTTTTAGAGCACCTGGTAGCCCGGCCTGGCCACCTGGCGCAGAGGCTGCCATTGTTCAACAAGCGATATAGTGGTTATAGATGGGTGAAAGGTCGCGTGTCGTTAGGAGTACGTCGGCCGTTCTCGCCCTTTGCGCAATATCTCGTCAAGATCGCAAGTTGACGAGAAGAACGTCAAACTAAGCGCAATGCTAACCACTTAAAAACTGAAATGGCCGTCACCAGGTCAAGAAATATGGCGGTCAAGTACCCTTCGAAACTTCCCGACAGCAAACCACACCTGTCGCTCAGTTGATGTGACGGCCACAACGTGGCGACGAGGTAGGACGACCGGTGTGGGCTGGGTTAAGGCTCAACGTAGAGAAAGGGGGAGGGCGCTATTGTGTGCTTTTGGGCGCTTTCGGCATATGTCCCGGACGGCAATGTGTTCACACCACTGGGAAGAGAGGAGAGAGTCGTTGAAGGCGGCGCTTTCGTCTCCCGTCGGCCTTGTACAACGGTAGAGGTCCAATACTGGTGGGGATTTGCGATTGCGAATTTGAGACGTCGTGGGACAGAGTTGACAAAACAAGGTTGTCAAGAACACAGCCGGGTCTGGCGATCGCAATTTGCTTTCGTGATGAGATAAAATTACGGTATGAGCCGTAGCCCACTGGGCTCTGCCGGAAGCAAGGAAAAGGGATGTTGCAGCTGCCGATCGACGGCTGGTTCACTCATCCAACCGTGACAAGTAGTTTCTTGAACCTCGCTGACCCCTGTCCAGTCGGCCAAACGAGTCTTCGAAGACGGAAGCTGCACAAGCGAGATGCTACACTTGGAAAACCGCACGGCTGCAACAGAACATCAGCGGAAGGATCAGCGAAGCAGCTGCGGAGCAATAAAGCGCATACAGATATCACAGCTGCCAGTGCCAATGCTCTGTAACTAGACCAGCAGCTGTCAAAAGTGGAAAATGTGTATACGGGTGGTGAGGGCAGGCGGGTGGTTCCGCTGGGGAGTCGAAGTGGCGTTCCCTCGTTGTCTATCTTGACTGATGTTTCACGCTATCGCGGCGGCCCTGCGCGATCTGGTCTTTCGCATTAGCGTCTCAAGCGTCTGCAAGGGCTGGCGCTTTCGTGCTTCTGACCGTGATTGCGCGACATTAACAAATAACGGTGTGTGCCATGCGTCTCTGTCGGCGCGGTGAAGCCAATCTGGTGTTAGCTCCTCTCCGCGTATGGTGGCCCTCTGTCCGTGTCAATTTGTCGCTAATGCGATTGTTTGAGGGTATATGTTGTATTCGCAGTGACAGTGGAATATTCCAAGGGTCCAGCTGCCATATGGTTTGTGTTCGACGGTGTTCTAGACTTTGCGTTTCAGATTAGGTTGGGAGGCCCAAAACAGCTATCAGAGCGTCTCCAAAACGGCCAGAATCCACAGTCGCCAGCAACGCGGGGATGCCCGTTTGGTATTAGATGCAATCAGCAAGGCCGAGTGTGGTTTCGGCTCTGGATGCATCTTGTATGTTGTATATGTGTGTCGTACTCCGCTGCAAATTACGCGAGTAATGTTGGGTTTGATACTTGCCAATGAATTTGGGATTGGCACATCGTTCTCGCTTTGGAGCTATTGTTGTTCGTCGAGGTGAAAATGCCACGGATGCTTGACAAGAACTGTGATTGTAGACTCGAGGGTGAGGCACGAGAATTGTAAGAAAGGGGCACTGGGGATGGATTTGCTGTAGAGAAAATGCGGCAAGACCCCAGCAGAAAGCAGGATACAACTTGTCAACAGGAAGGGAAGTTGCGATGCGAAGCATATGAGCGTTGTTCCTGCCTTGCAAAGCAACCTCCAGTACAGCCTGTGTTGTACTTTCCGGCACGAGCAAGGAGCCGAAAGAGCCTTCCTTTGTGGGATGGTGGCCCATCGCGACTGCCCTGTACGTCGTACGAATGCAATGGCCACAACAACACCTTCTATTATTGTCGCGGCAGTGGACTTTCCGCACGTGGCCTCGTGGCTTGCACCTTCCCTCTCCACGATGCCTATTCGGCAGGAGGACAGAGCTCTGCGCTTGCCCATTCGGTCTGAACTTCCTATGATACCTTTCTCGTTCCCCTTCCCAATTCCTTCAGCTCCATACTCATATGCCGGCATCCGATCTTCAACCAACCACATGCTGCAACTATCTCCGGACCGCACTGAACGGAACGATCGCTTTGCAGAAAAGACACTATGGCTCACAATGGAGTACTTCTTGGAGCGAAGGCTGGTCAAGTACGCGTTGTCTACCCTTGCAAACCTCACAGCTAACAAATCAGTGTCAAAAAGAGTCATGTGCACGAGCATGTCATTCTCAAGAAATCCTAGGGCTTCCGTGTCGAGTCTCGTCGGGCCCGGCAGATGGGCCTGATCGATTGTCTCCGGGTCGCATCTTTTGGCGTGTCATCCCAGACGATGACTGTCCCGGCACCAAACTCTGTCTCCGCATTGATCTCGGCAGTGGCAGTCATCCTTCTGTATCCTGGCTGTTGGGTCGTTGGTCTCCCCTGTGCTCGAACTGTCGTCCTTTATCTCGAAGCATCGAAAACAAAAGGGGCTTGGAGGGGAGTCTTACTCCTGCCAAGTAGAGGACGCGTGGGCATTCAAGTGAAGAAAGTCTCCAAGTAGGGCCAAGGCTACAAAGGCAGTCGTGATTAGAGAGGCCACAGAAGACGCCTATATTGTGCTACGTGGGCATCTAGCAACGCATCACAGTGCAGGTGCCCAGCCTATCTTGTGATTTGATCGCCCGTGATGCGCGTCATTCCAAACAGTGTGGTCGGCCCTCTTACGATTTTCCATGTCGATTCGGCGCTCCGTCCCATTTCTACACTTTTCTTTTCTATTTTCGAAAGCATTGGCGCGCAGCAAAGTGTCTAGCCAGCGCCCAGCCATCTGCCCAGCCAACGCCCAGAGCGCCTGTCGTCTTGGCGGCGCGGCATAGTTGTACAGCCACGCCCTTGGCAGTATCGCCACCCGCCAGCGACAGACAAAAGACCGAGCAAAATCACAAAGAAAACACCTGCTAACAATGAAGAACACCTGAGAGTGGGTTACTACGCGAAAACGGAATCCAAACGCATTTGCCTCCATGCGCTGGTTATTTACATGGGGATCAACGTGCTGTATGCCACCTCTCGTATCCTTTGCAACAAGTTGTTGTTTTCGTATTGCATTTTCTGGACGTTCCATAAAGAAGTTGAGTGCTTGGGGGCGCGCGCGGAATCTCTCTCACCTTGGTTCCATTTCCGCGTGACGCTTGGCCCGAGCAATCCGGTGCAGAACAGGACGTGCATATGATCTTTGACTCCTGTTTGGTCCTTGCTTTCCTTTTTTCGTTCCAATCGTCATATTCGTACCATTCGTCCCAGTTGCCCTATTCTCTCGGCGCCGCTAAACAGTCCACATTGGCATTGGCAAGTTTCCTGCCAGCCCTTTCCAAGAGGAAGGGCAAAGAGAGCCCACGCTCGGTACTCTATTCAGTACGAGGATCTTACAAATGCCCTTGCTTGCCAAAAATATACAAGGCAACAAAATAAAAGCCCAGACCAAGAAGACCAAGACACAGTGACGAGAGAATGGAGTGACGAGAATAAAGAAACAAGGAGAAAAAGGCTGAGAGAAAGTAGTCAAGGTTAGTACAAGACGACACAAAGGCTTGGCCTCTTCTCTTGGCATACCAGCGGTGAAGCGCCGGTTGCCCAAACAAATGGCCACTGGTTCGTTGAGGTCCTTTCGGCTTCCTCTGGATCCTCTTGGTACGTGTGGAATCTCGGAAACTGTAAGCTGAAGTCAGCTGCAAGTGGCCTTCTTGTTAAATAGGGTTTGCCCGCCACCTTTCGTTTTGTTTTGTGGTCCTGTTGTGATGCTTTCTTGTTGATGTTGTTGATGTTCCTGATGCTTCTTTGATCCCATTATCCGATACACACTGATAACACTGGACGACGTTGTCCTCCACATTCGCTACTTTCTCGACGTTCTACACGGCAGACGTTCGTTTCCTTGACCCCCAGGCACACACACGGGTTGTGCCAGCCGACTCCCGACGCCCGCTGCGTCGTCCGTTCCAACCGTTTTATCATAAACGTCACATTGCACATTACACGATGTGGTCAACAGCAGCACAAGCGGTGGTGGCCGGCTTATTAGCGACAGGCACGGTCGTCGAGGCTGCCTCACAATTCAGCATTAGTTCATCAGGTACGTTTTGGAGCCCCGAACACAATGCGGCTTATTTGGTTTTGTATGACACTTTGTGCCTAACTCGCTTTGCCTCCCAGACGCCATTAAGAAAACCGCCAGCACAATCGCCCACGACCTCGTCAGCTACTATCACGGAAACGAGAGCGGCCAAACCCCGGGCATTCTGCCGGGCCCGCCACCGGCCGGAGACTACTACTGGTGGGAGGCCGGTGCGATGTGGGGCACACTGATCGATTACTGGCACCTGACCGGCGACGACACATACAACGAACTGGTGACGGAGGCGATGCTGTTTCAGACAGGGCCGCATGAGGACTACATGCCGCCCAACGTGACGGCGTCGTTGGGCAACGACGACCAAGGGTTCTGGGGCATGTCGGCGATGCTGGCGGCGGAGGTCAACTTCCCGAACCCGCCGGCCGACAAGCCGCAGTGGCTCGCGCTGGCGCAGGCCGTGTTCAACACGCAGGCGGAGCCGGGCCGGCACGACGCGACGTGCAACGGCGGCCTGCGGTGGCAGATCCCGGTGCTGAACAACGGCTACAACTACAAGAACAGCATTGCCAACGGGTGCTTTTTCAACATCGGGGCGCGGCTCGCGCGGTACACGGACAACGCGACGTACGCCGACTGGGCGGAGCGCACGTGGGACTGGATCGAGGGCGTCGGGTACATGGACGCGGAGTACAACATCTACGACGGCGCGCACGTGGAGACGAACTGCACGGACATCAACAAGGCGCAGTTCTCGTACAACAGCGCGGTGTGGCTGCTGGGCGCGGCGTACATGTGGAACCACACGGAGGAGGCCAAGTGGCAGACGCGCGTCGAGGGCCTGCTGAACCGGACCATCACCTTCTTCTTCCCGGACGGCGTCGCCTACGAGGTGGCGTGCGAGACGCACATGACGTGCACGACGGACATGCTGACGTACAAGGGCTTCCTGCACCGGTGGATGGCGTCGACGGCGCAGGTTGCGCCGTTTACGCACGACCGGATCATGGCGGTCCTGCAGACGTCGACGCAGGCGGCCGTGGACCAGTGCACGGGCGGCGACAACGGCCGGACGTGCGGGTTCCAGTGGAGCTCGCGGGCGTTTGATGGGAGCGTCGGTGCGGGGCAGACGATGAACGTGCTGGCGGCGGTGTCGTCGCTGCTGGTGGACGAAGTGCACGCCCCGTTGACGAACCAGACGGGCGGCACGAGCGTGGGCAACCCGAACGCGGGCAGTGGCAGCGTCGACAACCCGACGGAGTTTGCGCCGATCACGGCGGCCGACCGTGCGGGTGCGGGCATTCTGACGGTGTTTGTGCTGGCGGGCATCACGGGGCTGTTTACCATGATGAGTTTTGGGGAGTGATTTTATTTTTACCAATTCTGGTTTTGTTTTCATTCTTTTCATTTTCTTTTGTGTTGGGCGTCTTGGGATTGGATATGGGACGGCATGTCTCTTTGGCGTTTTTGCTGTTTGGCCACGGCCAATGTATGTACTAGCATACTTCTCTTAGGTCTTTTGTTGTACATGGATATCAACATAGCATCACACTTTATTTATTTATTATTATTTTATTTTCGTCATCGTCATGAAGTGTCCTCTTTTCCTCTTTACCTCCCATATTGCTCCCTTTTTCTTTTGCTCCTCGTACGGCCCGCAAAAAAGGGGCTGAAATGACGGCCGTGCGTTTCAAAAGTCCGACAACGAAGCAAGCTCTTCAGCTGATGTATGTTTCGTAAACTACGAACTCCAAAGCAAACGCATGCAGGATCAGAACGCCGCATTACGGCTCTCTTTCATGGTGTTCTCTGTTTTCGCTTAAAACACATATTCTTGTCATCTCTCTTACCTCGCTCAGTATGCCCGTCCCGGATCTCGCTGACCGCAGCCTCTTTCCTCCGTTTCTGGAGCTCCCCGAAGATGGCAAGCCGTCCAACACAGAGTCGGCGGCTGTCACCCTTCTCGCCCAGGTCAAGGACAACATGACCATCACCAAGCCGACACTCGTCCTCACCGACCGCGACGGCACGGGCTTCGCGCTTGTCTTTGACGGCCTGGAGCGCGACGGCCTGGACCTTGCCAAGCTTGGCTTGAAGAAGGGGGCGACGGCGGTAGTCCAGGGGGCACGGCAGACAGTGCCTGTCCAGAGCGGCGACGCCGCGTCGTTGACGGCAAAAGCGGCGCGCCGGCCGTTTCTGCGGGTCGCGCCCGGGCAGGCGCACACTGTGCGGGCTGTGCCTGCCCCGCTCGACCAGACCGTGGCGGTCGCCAGCAAGATGCGGGCATGGCAAGAGCGGGCCCAGCAGGAGGGGCACCAGCACTGCGAGGCGTGCGGCGCGGCAGGCGCGGCAGGCGCGGCCACGCAAGGCAAGACGCTGCTCAAATGCACAGGCTGCAGCCAGGCCTGGTATTGCGATCGGGTAGGCGCAGACGTAGTCTATTTGATGTTTTGGCCGCTGAAAAGCAACTAACATCGACAGACATGCCAGACAAAAGGCTGGAACAGCGGCCACAAATCAGAGTGCAAAGCTCTCAAGGCGTTGTCTGCCATCTGGAGCGAGTAGCACGATGTCTACATCGGCAAATGAGGCAGATGCGGCGGGAGAGTTCGCCGACGGATTTCCTTTTCCGGGTTTGCTGGCATCCTCTGCAATATCACTGCGTACAGGGCCGACAGGCTTGCTCTGCCTATGGCTCCAGGGCACCACACCCCCGCAGCCAGGCCTTCGCCTTCTACGCCTCCGGGTCACCGTTATCCGGCCAAACGGCCAGCATTATCCGGCCACGAATCAGTGCTATGAAAGGCCGCTAACAGCGCCCAAATCAGCACCCGGCCGTCAAAACAGCACTCCTCACACGAGGTCTCCCGCTTACGATGTATACGATTGAATACCGGCGTACAAACAGCGGAAGATCAGATACAATGGCGGCAGGCACTGCATCGAACTACTGTGGAAGTCGAAGAATTTTAACGGGTCATTCGGAGTGGTAGTGGGTGATAGGCAAAGAACATCGACACGCTGATCGATTGGGGTCTACGAGACTGGCCGCTGGATGCTGGCGTACGGCCATGGTACAAAATAGTAGGCTCCCGGTACTTTTCTTTCTCTGGTTTGGTTTTATTGGCACTAAAGTTACTAGCAAAGTCTGAGGTTCAAGATGAAGTTTATGTATCGTTTTGTATCTCGTCCTACCACCTATGTCCGTATTTTCCGGGTCGAACAGTGACCCAAAGGGACCACATGAGAAGGATTCCGAGCAGTACGATGCTGACGGCCGAAACGACTGCTACGAAGAGGAGGTCAATAAAAGATAAAAGGCAGGAGGAATCTCGGTGCTCTGTGGGAACCATTTGTAGTACATTGTCCGTCTGCGTCGTGCCATTTGTTTACGAGCATTTTTACAGTTGACTTCTCTAAGTAATACATACTCCCTGTAAGACCGCTGTACGCACAGCATCGTCGCCTGTATCTCACTTACACCAAAAGCGGCCAGTCTAGCGGCGTCACGCGACGCCTCCTCCACGGCCGCGCAATGAAGTTCAAGGATGCCCCCGAGTACGTCCCTACCGACCCCAACAGCAAGGGCGGTCCCCGCAACGGCCACTATGCCGCGCTCGACCCCAACTTTGCGGCGGCCCGCGCGGGCGCCGAGGCCATCATGGACACGCTGTGGAAGGCCGACGACTGGGAGACGTTCCGCAACAACTGGAAGGGCGAGAGTCCGCTGCCCGAGGGGACACCGAAACCAGGCGTCGATGTCGAGGCATCGTACATCAAGGTCCCCGCGCGGGACGGCCACGAGATTGAGCTCAAGATTCTGAAATCCGCCAAATCCGCCAAATCCGCCGCCACCGCCGACGACACCATTGTTGTCCTGCGCATGCACGGCGGCGGCTGGGCCATTGGCTGGCACGACACCGAGGTGATTGAGAACCTGCACGCCGCCAGCCACCCCAACGTCGTGCTGGCGAGCATCGACTACCGCCTGGCGCCCGAGCACCCGTTCCCGACGCCGCTCCACGACTGCATCGACGCCTTCCAGTGGGTCAAGGCCAACGCCCGCGAGGCGCTGCACGCCAACCCCGAAAAGATTGTGCTGCTGGGCGGCAGTGCCGGGTCGGGCCTGTCGCTGGCGCTGGCGCTGCATGCGCGCGACCACAACATCTCCGGCATCATTGCGCTGGCCCTGGACTGGCCCACCGGCGCCCACCCCAAGTTCTTCCCCGAGCTGCGCGAGCGCTTCGGCTACGAGCTCGAGAGCTACGTGCAGGTCCCCAACGGCGTCGTGACCGGCGCTCTCGTCATGGAGTTCTTTTTGGACGCCTACACCCCCAACGTCCAGCACGACGTGCGCCACTCGCCGCTGCTGGCCGACACCTTTGCCGGCCTGCCGCCCGCCTTCTTGCAGATCGCCGGATTCGACACGCTGCGTGACGAGGGCGTGGCCGTTGCCGAAAAGCTGCAGCGCGGCGGTGTGCCGACTGAAGTCCACATCTACCAGGGCCTGCCGCACTGCTTCTCCATGCTCTTCACTGACCTGCCCCAGGCCAACGACTATCAGGCCCGCCAAAACGCCTTCTTGGAGAAGACCATCAAGCTGGCCAATGCGACGTAAATGGTGGCGACACAGGAGTTGAAAAATAGAGAAAAAAACAAACCCAGAATAAACAGAATGCTCATACCGTATGTTTATACTAAAAATATACCCATGTAAACTCACGACAAATACGCAATGCCGCCAACAATGCAGCAATGTGATGTGCTATGCTGTGTTGTGCTGTGCTCTATCCCAAGCAGCAGCGGATGGACCAACAATGTATACACTCGCCTGGTACCTTCGTCCAACGTTAAACATGCTTGTAATAAAAATAAGAACAGAAAGTAAAGCAAACAGATGGTGGAGCATGACATAAGAAAAACAAGGGCTGCTTGAACGTCAAAGCCACATGCTTAAATATAGTCGCTATGATGGCAGCGTCAAAGGTCATCGGTCGTCGTCGTGCGATGAGTCTTTGTACCATGCGTCTTCGTACCATCCGTCATCGTCGTCGTCGTCGTCGCCGTCGTCGTACTCTGCGTATGCGTCCTTGTCCACCACCGGGGGCCACTATTCTGGCAGCGCCAGGAGCGCAAAGAGCCCGCCCTGCACGGGCCGGTTGATAAACATCGGTCCACCCGTCGGGAACTCGCCTGTCGTCGCGTCGTACAAATCCGAGAGGGGCCGGGTGGTGGGCGTTCCCTCAACGTAGCGGATAAGACGGTCGTGCATCAGGCTGCGCACATCGGGTGCCGCCACTGCCGCCGCAAACGCCTGCCAGTCCGACTTGGCCCAGGTGTGTCGCGTGTCCAGCGGCACGCCAAACTCTTGGATGACGCTGCCGTAGAAATTGCTTTGCATCGAGTATACCCAGTCCGGCACAAAGTTCAGCCCCAGCAGCTTATCGGCGTAGATGTTGTACAGGAGGCCGTGCGAGTCGGGCTCGTTGTACGCAAGCGTCGTATGCGGCGGGTTGGCATTCTTATTGACACCGAGACCCGACCAGGTCTGTATATACTGGGTCGACGTGTGCAGATACTGCTGGCTGATCTCGTTGGCATTGACGACGCCGCTGAGACCAGCGATCTCGGCCATTGCGCGCACGCCGATGATGCCCTTGAGCGCCAGGTTTGTCTGGTTCGCGAGTGCGCCGGCAAAGTCGTCCGTCGACAGCTGGTAGTCGGGAATCAGCGAGTCGTTGACCAGGAACTGCGCCCACTGGTCCAGCAGCTGCCAATGTTGCTTCAGGTAGTCTGAATTCTTTGTTCGAAGCGCATATGCCAGTGTCATGATGATCATGTTACCGCACTCTTCGACCGGCATAGCCTCATCGTTGCCACTAGGATAGCCGAGAGCATTGGGGAAAAGGCCCAGATCGTGAGTCGACCACGGATTCGGGTAATGGCCGCTTTCCTGGTTTTCAAACAGGGGGTCCAGCAGCAACCTGAGCAGCTCCGGGTTGAGGTACAACAATATCGGGTGCGCCGGGAAGATTACATCCACCGTCTGGATGTCGCCGTCGGAGCTAATTTCTTTGAGAAAGATGTAGTCCTGCCGCGAGCCGTGTGCGACCTGCAGCGAGCCAAACACCTGGCGAACGACCAGCGTCGTCAACGAAGCGTAGTCATCGCCCCCGGCATCAAACGCGTCATTGTGGATCTTCGAGTCGAGCAGCCTGGCGTCGTGGGATTCGGAGTCCCAGTCGGAGTGGAAGGCCGCCACGCAATCTTCGTCGGAGGTGTAAACGGTCGACCACAGCGAACGGAGAGCCTCGGGGCTGGTATTGTTGCCCTGGAAATTGATGACCTCGTCCTGGGCGAGGCCGATGGTAAACAGAACGTCTTGTTCTGAGAGAATAGAGCCGAAATCACGGGAGAAAGCAAACACGGGCCTGGAAAGGGGCAAGAGGCGTTAGATGAAATGCTACAGCAAAGGTTACGAGCCATGAGCTCTTGTGCGACCAGCAGGGAGGACACTAGGACGGGTACTATCCACGGAAAGTAAGACCATACCAGTTGTCACCAATGGACCTGAAAGTAGTGTCGATTTTGTTGTCGAGGCTGCCATTGTTGATGAACAAGCCTCTGGTGTCGGTATCTGGGTAGCCAGTGCGATACGACACCTAATGGTGAGCTGGTCAGCAACGTGCACCAAAAGAGGAAATAAGGCATGGTAATACGACAGCTTAGCTTGCGGAAGCCACTTACACCGGCATTTGCGTCTGTGCCGTAGTACCAGTTACCCCATAATGCCATGTCCGATGCTTCAGAAAAGACCGTGTTTGTGGTCAGCGTGAGCTTGTGGAATGCGAGGCCATCGCGGAGGCCGTTGGACCAGTTGATCAGTCTGCTGGTGTCTGCGCCAGCCCATTCTAGAACACGAGAGGGCAAAGAAAGGTCTACATTAGTCAACGGTCCCAGGGCTCAAAATGGTCCAATTGTCGAACCTCAAAGGGGAAGCTAGCTCACCGCCTGAAATATCCGTATAGACTTGCACCTCGTGATGGCTGCCATCGGAAGATTTGACAGAGACTTGTAGGTAGGAGAATTGCATCGATTGTTGTAGGAGGTCGGTGGGATGAACAGGCGAGAGGAATGTGGCAGTCAGGGTGACTTTGCTGTCCACATCAAAGGTAAACGTGCTCGTGGTCGCGGTGTATTCGAAGTCGGTCTGGGCCACGGCTTTGGGACCAGGGGCGTTGCCCATCCAGTTATACGTGACATTGTCGACACGGATGAAGCCTTGCCATCCTGTGGTCTGGCCACTACCGGGCGATGTGGTCAGCTTTGCACACCAGCACAATGAATAAACAAAAACCCCAAAAAAGAACGAATAGACAAACGCACGCCCAGAATTGCGGCCACGAGCCGGGGAGAATTCCGCCCGAGTCGCCGTTCAGCCAGGTGCTCAAGTAGGGAGACCGGACGGCAAGCGGAATTGCAGGCGGCCGTAGCGGTGAGAATGTTGAGGCCGATGCAGCTGGGGCAACGGCAACCAGCACATATAGGAGGGTGTGTATGAGGGTTCTAGCCGCCATGGTGTAGATCTATTTCAGCGACTGTGCATCTCAAGTCGACTGAAAGGAGCGGCAGATCCGTGGAGGCCAACAGATGGGGAGAGACGAGAATAACAATAAAGGTGCAAACCGGACAAAACAGTCAGGAACGGGGCGGCTAGGAAGGGCCAGGACAAGTTAAGAAGGAAGCTTCGGCTTGGCCTGAGGCCAGGATATATAACTGACAAGAAGGGCAAGAGCGAACGAGCAAATGCACAATGGGCGAGCGGAAGGCACGGAGAAGTAGAAAAAGGGGGGTTCAAACAAGAGGAAAGAAGGCAGGACAGATCGGCCATATATGGCCGTCGACGCCGGTCGAGACTGCCCTGGACAGCTTCCCATGCTCGCCTTCCTCTTGGCCCTCTCCTACGTTTCCTGGTCACAATATCTCAACTTGGAAGGAGGCAGCGACGGCTGCTAGCCAAGAACCGTTGCGGAAACATGCTGTCGCAGATGCTGCAGTTACGACCCACGTGCGAGGCCCGGTGATGCATCGCACAGTCGGTGATGTTGTGAGGCAGGTTTCTCAATGCTGGGCCACAGGTGCTGCACAAGCGCAATTACAACGAGGACGAGGGGCGCAGGATGGCACAACAGGCAAGCAGGACAGAATCAGGAACATTGGCTGACAAGACGAAGCAAAACGGTAATCGAAAGAGTCACCTTCCACAACTGGACTGTCGTACGTCGAAGACAGTATGCAGTGCAAGATGCGGCCGATCCCATCTCTCGACCGCTCATGTGAGCCCCCCTCGAGAACTAGGGCAGAGACCGCCGCGAACCGGGGTGAGACGGCCGACAAGAATCACGGCCAAAGCATCCTGGGACAGAAACAGAGGGCTCTCATGATGGGCGGCCGAAAGTGTAATTACCTTGGGGAAGGAGCACGCCATGGGCGGAGCACGCGAGATCGTCTCGACACTTCTGTGCGCATATCTCTGAGAGGGTGGCCAACGTGGGGATAGATCAGGGAGCAGGAGACAAAAAGGAACAAAACGCGGAGAGACCCCATGACCTGTCCACAGAATTCTCAAGGTCACCGCATCACAACCGACTGCAGATCTGGATCGGAGTGTTGCTTCTAAATTAGAGTTGGAGACTACCCGGCGCAACGTTTCCTGTCATGGCGCCGAATCTGGCCATTTAAGGAGATTTTGGACCGTGCACACAACTCAATCCGACCACATATCGGCCCGGGGCCGGGGTCCCCAGACAGGTGCTAGATCTGCACGCGCCGGGATCGTCCAGTGCGGAGAATCGGCTTGTGATATCAAGTTGAAAAAAAGAAGGTTAATTTTCCGGGTGGCTGGGTTCCTGTTGACGTTTTCTGCTTCATAGGATGATCTGGACATTGCCGTCGTCTCTTTTCTGCGACGGAAGTGGTGTCACTGGCCTCTGGTTGGTGAGTTCAGAAAACCACCCAAAATTGCCAATGCAACCTTGTGGATGACAGAGACGCGTGCCGCTGTGCCGCAAAAAAAAAAGCTTCCTCTTTCTGTGCCGTTCGTGAGCCTCTTGAAGTCTGCTGGACTGACCCGGTGCCTTGTCCTTCCCACTTGATCTGGTGGCCTGCTGCCCTCTTTGTCCTCGTCACCCAAGACCCGAGGCTGCATTACGTGCATGGCCTGGATGGTCTCGAATGCCGGCGCACCCCTCTTTCAACGATGATCTTCTCGCTCACACAGCATCATCGACGCATCGGGCGTCGTCCCGTTCTGGTTAAAAGCTTTCGCCCGGGACTTTTCTCGTCTCCTATGGGCAAATTGTGACCCTTGCATCCATGTATATATGCACCTGTTGCATCTCAATTTTGTGTGCTTTAGTTCTCATATTTTCCCACCGTAGCCGAATTTCCTGATTGATGTTTCGTTAAGCCATTTCGTGCTGTCATTGATGTTGTCCCGCACGGGAATAGAGGGACAAAAGAGACAGAATACCCTGGGTTCGTCTGTGCCGCACGACCTGGTCGATCCTAGATCATCTCACCAAGTCGATCGCCGAGGGGGGCGCTCGCGATAGGAGA